GCTATTTTTTGCAAAGAGTTCATCAGCTATTGCTTCATATTTATTCCTACACTGTCTTCCAAATGCAGTCTGTTATTTTCTGCATTCACTCATCTATTTTCTATGATGTACACATTAAGGTGATGTTAACACAACACTTTGAGATGATCTCCAATGCCCACAACCTTGAGAAGATATGCAAGTTACATGGAAAGTGCCTGAAAGTTGTCACTCTTACCCCTCCTTGTTACTCAAATGTGGCCTCAATAGGTTTCCAATCTGGGCAATTTGCTTCTGATGTTAGATATAACACCACAATACTTAGGGATGGTCCCTCCTAGTAGTGCAAGACAAAAGTCACTGAATTCAGAAAACCTGATTCTTGGTCAGCAATGCTTTTAGAGAAAGATCTTGATCAAAAGAGGGAAATGAATAAAAGAAATTTCATTTGAAATAAAGTCAGGAGGCCCAGAGGGGGAACTCTCATACTACTACTCAATCAGATGTTACAACATTAATAGGAAGAATCATCAATTACAGAAATCAACAAAAAGAGTAATCAATGCTAGACTTTTCCCATTCCTAGCAATTCAGCCAGTGAGAGATCATCACTACCACCCTGAACACTCACTTTTCAACCAGTGGACTTTTGTTCAAAACATCTCCAAATGTCCTCTTTCTACCTTATAAAATAATTTGACTCTCCTCTAATTGCTGGATTTGCCAACAGCTTTTTGCTATAATTTGTTTGTTCTGAATTGCAACTCCTCTGCTATTCCCAAATAAGCCCATTTGTTAGTAAAATAACTCCCTATTTTATTTTTTAGGTCAAAACCACATTAATACAGGGGCTTCCTGGTGACGCAGGGGTTAAAGTCTCAGCACTATGAAGCTACTGGCAGCCACTACAGCACAAATTTGATCCTCAGCCAGCCAGGGAGTTCACCCACATGGCACAGTGGACCTCTCCTGTCTCACCTGCTGCTCCCGTCAGCAGTGTATTTCAGTAGATCCACCGGTTCTGCTCCCCACTCTGTCTCTGGTGAATCCTCTCACCCCTCTTACTTCTGGACTAGACCCCAATTCTTGTATGCATAAATAAATAAAATGAATTGAAAAAACACACATACATACACAACTTTTTCTTTTTTTTTTTTGGACAGCAGTGTAAGGCAATGTATAGCAAATAGGATAGTCTTTTCAACACATAGTGCTGGAACAATAATATATGCAAATAGTAAAAAAAATGAATTTAGACCCATTCGTATATGACACCATATACAAATATTAACTAAAATTGGACCAAGATGAAAATGTAAACCCTAAAATTATAAAGCTCCTAAAAGAAAACATGAGAAAATCTGTACTTTGGGGTTAGAAAAAGACTCTGGATAGAGAACTAAAAACCCAATGAAAGAACAAGCTGATAAATTGAACTTCATCAAAATGAAAGCCTCTGTTGGCAGCAAACCTCTCCTGTCTTGCCTGCTGCTCCCCTCAGCAGTGTATTTCAGTAGATCTGCCTGTTCTGCTCCCCACTGTCTCTGGTGAATCCTTTCACTCCCTGCATCTCTGGTCTGCACCCCAGCTTTTGTATGCATAAATAAATCAATCTTTAAAAAATATTTAAAAAAAATGAAAGCCTCTTATGTTAAAAGGAAGCTGTTAAGGGAATAAAAAGAAAAATCACAGTTCTGATAAAGGAAGAAAAATCTTAGTTCTGATAAAAGACCTGTATCCTTAATATATAAAGAATTCTCAGCTTTGCCGCATCTACTGCGAGAATGAAGACCATTCTCAGCAATCAGACTGTCGACATTCCAGAAAATGTTGACATATCCCTGAAGGGTCGCTCTGTTATTGTGAAGGGCCCCAGAGGCACCCTGCGGAGGGACTTCAATTACATCAATGTCAACTCAGTTTGCTTGGGAAGAAAAAGAAGAGGCTCCGGGTTGACAAATGGTGGGGAAATAGAAAGGAACTGGCTACTGTTTGCACTATCTGTAGTCATGTACAGAACATGATCAAGGGTGTTACACTGGGCTTCCATTATAAGATGAGGTCTGTGTATGCTCACTTCCCTATCAACGTTGTTATTCAGGAGAATGGGTCTCTTGTTGAAATCCAAAATTTCTTGGGTGAAAAATACATTCGCAGGGTTCGGATGAGACAAGGTGTTGCTTGTTCAGTATCTCAAGCCCAGAAAGATGAGTTGATTCTTGAAGAAAACGACATTGAACTTGTATCAAATTCAGCTGCTTTGATTCAGCAAGCCACGACAATTAAAAACAAGGATATCAGGAAATTTTTGGATGGTATCTATGTTTCTGAAAAAGGAACAGTTCAGCAAGCTGATGAATAAGATTTAAGTTGTCCAGCTACAGAGCAGCAAGATAATGGATGATTTCTTAGACCTATTTGTGATATATCTTTAAGATGCAATAATAAAAGTCATCATTGATTTGGGACTTTTTTTTTTCCCTTAAGCTGATTATCCTTTTAAACTTTTAAGAAAATAAACAGTTCAAGTCAGTTCTAGTGTGCTAAGAAAAGTAACAAGAAACAGTTTTACCAAAGGAGTTTACAGAGAAAAGGCTTGAATCTGATTTCCAAAGGAATATCAAGGGTGTTACAGGCAAGAGGAATATAGTAACAGTGTCAGATGACTTGAAATTGTTAATTGGATATAGAAATTAAGAAATTTTGTAGTGATCTAAAATTGAATGTTGTGAGGCAAGTATGCGTCATTCACTTGTCTATACCAGTAACTTTTTGTGAAAAGGCAAATGAGAAATAGAACAAAGAGTTTTGGTAAGAGCTGGAATATTGAGTTTATGATAAACATGGTTTCAGTGCTCCAGGATCCTCTCAGTCTTAAATCTTTGATTTGCTTTAGGCATTTATTTCAGCATCCTAGTCCCTCATGATTTTAAATTAAGAAAAAATTGGTAACAATCACTTGGAACATGTATGTATTAGTGAGACCTTAAGCCAAATAAATAGGGTTTTTCTATATTAAAGAGTTAATCTTTGGTTTGAAAATGGTTAAATTTTTGATATGTAAATTAAACACTGTAGTGTTTAAAATTGTGGAAAAAAAAAGAATTATCATAGTTATATAATTAACAGTTATAAACAGTTACAAGATTAATGAACATTGATATTAAGCTAAGCAAAAAGAAAGTAGATACAAAAGGACAAATATATGATTCTACTGAAATGAAGTACAGTAGTCAAATTTACAGAGACAGTAATAGAATAGTGGTTAACAGTGGATATGAGGTAGGAGAATGGAGAGTTAATATTTAATGGTTCAGACTTTTGTTTGGGATGGTAATATTTTCTGGAGTTGTAATGTAGAAGCTGTAGAAAATTTCCAGAGGATAGTGGTGACAAATGAACAACAATGTGAATGTACTTAATGCCATTGAACTATAAATATATTTAAGAAAAGTTAAGATGGCAAATTTTATGTTGTGTTTTTTAACACAATTTAATGATTAAACATTAAGTTCTGTGTTATATATATTTCATCACAATTAAAAAATAATTAACTTCTAGCTTCCTATACACATACAAAAAGAAAAACCCTAGTATGTTCAAGCCTGTATATCCAATCATTCCCACTGATTAAAAATAAAAACTCTGGGAAAAATGTAAAAATCAACGACTTCAGGATTTTGGAAAGTAAAAAAAAGCAGGTGGATTATGAGAGGGAGTTAAACATGGAGAAGTAAACTACCCAGAAGTAAAATCCTCAAACTCTATTTCTCTCTTTTTATGTCTCACAGCTTTGCCTCAGTGCTCACAATGCTGCTCAATGAAAGCACCTATAACTCAAGAGAAACCCATCTTTTTGGTTTCAGAAAGCAAAGAAGAATCTTTCCCTCAGGCAGGAAAATGTGGAGTGAGGGGAAACCAGAAGTGAAAGAACCAGAAAAGAGGGAACTCTTACTTCTGGATACGAATTCATACAAGTCACAGTCTAATCACTGAACCATGCTTGTACACAGCAACCCCAAATCAGGAGTCAACACTTAGAAAAACAGACTAAGATTGAACCATGCCCTTAAAATACTGACACAAAATTCACATTCCAAACCTAATTAGGTTGATTACTTACCAAAACAAAAACATTAGTATTCTCCAGAGAATTATAAAAGAACCTAGAGTCTATGTTCTTGTTACTTCCAAGACTATAATATTATTTCCTTATCTGAGAAAACAATATAACCTTAACTGTGTTTAATTCATGAGACTTGATTAGCACGGTTGAGTAAAGTATGTCTCTTATACACTTAAACTTACATAAGATAGTAACATATTAGTATAAGGATTCATACCATCAATTACATATTATTATATTTTCCTACTAAAATGAAAGAATTTTCCCTTGTATTAACAAATCCCAGGAGAACCATCCAGCAGGAAGTTCAGACTGCATTTTATCTCTACTATTTTCACCCTGTTAAGTCTTAGAAGTACAGGAGAAACATTATATACTAATGCTACTGTGTGGAATAATACGGTGATAAAATTCATAAAAGATACATAACCCATGTATGGTAATCTGTAATATTTCCAAAAGACAATGTTTATTATATTACTATAATTTTCAAAACCAATAATCCCAAAAGATGTTATAGAAAAATATTTCACTACATGAAAAATATTTTGTTACAGGAGAAAAATGTTCATAATTTCTTGAATAAGAAAAATAAATTACAAAAGTATTAACGTATTATTTTGTTTAGAAAATATCTGGAAAGATGTATAAAATACATAAAATATTAAAGTGATTTTATCTGAGTGATCTTAATTTCTTAACTTTTTGCTTCTCTGAATTTTCCAAATTTTCTATAATAATGTTTTTTAGTATGGAAAAAGAATAAAAGTCATTGTTTCAAAGTGTAACAATAAAGAAAAGGGTCCAATTTCCCTGGATGAACTAGTTTTGCTTCCTTTTAGATCTAAAGTTGTACATTTCTTGCAAGGTACAGTCATAATTTAGTAGCACTCACCTGTCCAACTGCTTGCAGGTTATAGCAGACAGTGTCCTTATTGACTGCTGAGGTTCCATAAAGAAGCACCTCAATGAGCCAGCATATCCCCAGGAAGAGGTCAGAGAAGCTCAGATAAAAGAGCGGCCTTATCTGCCAAAGCAATAAAACCTTCATGTTATATAGCTGTAGCCAAGAAAATATACTACCAATTTTCATGTTTTAATTTTCTAGTAGAAAACTGGGTATACTTATTCTGGAACCTCAGCCATTGGTATACTCAGGGGCTGTAAAGGAATATTCCAGGTAGGAAGGAATCTGTAATTACAACTACCCCAACTGTCCTGGAATAGGAATACTCATAGATGAATTAGTATTAAACCTTCCTCCTCAGAGACAGTCTTTTCAGATACAGAATCAAAGAAGGAACGAGCTGATGAGAAATTTTTGATGACGGGAGACACACCACAAATGGGAAAGTGCTCTAGCTGCACAGCCAACATCTCTGAAAATAGGAAATGAGATCAATCACCAAGTGTTGAAAGATATGGTTGAGGACTTAAATGTTACAGACTTTTCTTATACCTTAATATAGTTTAATTTGCTATGGTTGATAGCTGTAGCTTAATTTCTTTTTTTCTTTAATGAGGTATTATTGACAAATAAAATTGTTAGATATTTAATATGTATAATGTGATGATATGAAATACATATACACTGTAATTTTCTCTATCAAGTGTATTAATATATATATCACCTCACATATCTACTTTTTTTTGTTAGAACATTTAAATTCTACTCTCCTAGCAAATTTCAATTATAAAATATAGTGTTATCAACCATAGTCGCCCTGTTATACATTAGCTTCTCAGATTTATTCACCTTGTAACACAGGTTTCCATATCAATGAAAAGTCAAAGAGTGGGAAAATATCAGTATGAGTAGTGCCTGTTGTTTCTCAATTTCTGACCACACTGGTCAATTTTGTCTTTCTTACTTTTTAGTATCCTTCTCTTTTTGGCCTCCTAACTCCCATTTTTCTAAAAATAGTTTTGGTCCTTCTATTGAGAAAATTGTAAGATGTTTACTGAGAGACACCAAAGACCTATACTGAAGACATACCTCATTCTCATGTATTGAAAGATTCAATATTATAAAAATGTCATTTCTCCACACATTAGTAGTAGAGAGTAAACGAAATCTCAGTTACATCTCAACATATTTTCTTGTGGAATTTGACAAGTTGGCTTTAAATCTGTATTTGTAGGCCTCCCTGGTGGCGCAAGGGGTTAAGCACAGCATCATGGAAGCTATCCACAGCTTCTACAGCATGAGTTCTAGCCCCCCTAGCCAGGGAGCTATCCACATGGCCCAGCAGACCTCTCCTGACTCGCCCGCTGCTCTGCTCAGCAGTGTATTTCAGTCTGCCTGTTCTGCTCCCCACTCTGTCTCTGGTGAATCCTCTCACCGCCACCCCCACCTGTGCCTCTGGCCTGTACCCCAGTCTTGTATGCATAAATGGATAAATCTTTTTAAAAATCTGTATTTGTAGAGAATTTTATATACAGAAATACAAAATTTCAAGATAACCAAGACACTTTTGAAAAAAGGGGAAGTTGCCTTATATATATTGAAACAATATAAAGTTGGAGTACAGAGACTACTGATAAGGTATTGGTACAGGGGTAGACAAATAGACCAATGGAACACAATAAAGAACCTGAAACAAAGCAAAATATATATAGACTTTTGATATAGGCTAGAGGCAGCTTTTTATTTTATTTATTTTTGAAAGATTTATTTATTTATGCATACAAGAACTGGGGTACAGCCCGGAGGTGCAGGGGGTGAGAGGATCCAACAGAGACAGAGTGGGGAACAGAACAGGCGGATTGGAGAATTACAGGATCTACACCTAAGGGGAGAAATCAAATATTGTACAAAAATTAACAGCAATGTAAGAGATCAAAAAATAAAAGAAAAAAAATTTAAAAAGAAGTTTGTTTTCACTCAGAGTTGGAAAACTGTTAGTTCTAGTAATAGGAGATAAAGTCATCAATTACAAAACAAAAACTAATTGAGTACCTTTATTGGAGTCAAGAAAAATTTCACCCCTTCTATGTTTAACAAGATACTATGTTGAGGCAATACAAAGAAATACGTGTTACAGTCCTGCTTTAAGGAAAATACAATCAATACAAATGCTTGGTAATAAAAAAGACACAAAGGGGGCCTTGCTGGTGATGCAGCGGGTTGAGTGCACAGCTGTGAAGCTGTCCACAGCCTTTGCAGTGAGAGTTCGATTTCTGGCCTGCCAGGGAGTAACCCACATGGTGCGGCAGACCTCTCCTGTCTTGCCTGCTGCTCCCCTCAGCAGTGTACTTCGGTCAGTCTGCCTATTCTGTTCCCCACTCTGTCTCTGGTGAATCTTCTCACCCTCCCGCACCTCTGGCCTGTACCCCAGATATTGTATAAATAAAAAATAAATCTTTTTAAAAAATTAAAAAGACACAAAAAAGCATAAGACAAGGTCCTCAATATGAAAGCAAAAGCTCTTTTTAAAAACCACGCACACACACATGTGCGTGTGTGTGTGTATATATATATATATATACACATATACATGCATGTATTGATTTGCAGGTATCTACATACACACTTTCATTTAAATTAAGAGCAGACTGGGAAGCATTGTGTGAAGGACCCTCTCAGGAGGTTCTGAGTCCAGGTCTAACCTGGTGAGGTGAAAGATCTAAAACAGGGCCTCCCCCGGTGGCGCAGCGGTTGAGCGCTGGGTTGCGAAGCTGCCCGCGGCCTCTGCAGCAGGGTTCGATCCCCGGCTGCTCCCCGGCCACCGGAGGAGGGTCCCACATGGCGCGCAGACCTCTCCTGCCGCCCGCTGCTCCCCTCAGCAGTGTACCTCGGTCCTTCTGCCTGCTCTGCTCCCCGCTCTGGTGAATTCTCTCACCCTCCCGCGCTTCTGACTGTACCCAGTGCTTGTATAAACAAACAAACAAAACAAAAATAAATAAATAAACATGCCTTAATTAAAAAAAAAAAAAGAAAGATCTAAAACAATTCATCAATACTCTTCTAAAATCCTGCTTCTCAGTATTTCTGCTTAAGTGAAATAGAATTACAAAGAATATCAAAAGTGACCTTTACAAGGAAATAGTCTCTGAAGTGCAGTGAAGTGTATCTGCCTCAAGTTTTTTTTTTTTTTTAAATTTTTTAACACTGCCTAACCTGGGCTACTTTTTTCTCTCTCTGGTTGCCTGAGTCATTGTCTCCTCACCCAGTTCCCTCATAGATTTTTCATGGATTCTCCAATTTACTATGATTATTTTTAATAATAGATAATTTTTGTCATTTTCAGAATACACCTTCCATGTGATTTTACTGTTAGAAATGTTCTTTGATGAAGAAGTAAAGAAAAACACAGAGCATTGCTAACATTTTAACCTGGAAAAAGTAGAGTTTTTCCTAGGCCAAGGAAAGAGAATACATGGGACCACTGAACTAAGTGACTGCTAAGGTCCTTTAGGCTCTGAAAGACGTGAGAACTAAAGCCAGAGAAATTAAAGGTCACATCCTCAGTCAAACCAGACCCCACAGCTTTAAAAATTCTTAAGTCACTGTCTTGCCAGAGGTCACCTGAGAGCAGTGCATCTCAACCAGGAGCAATTATACCTGCCCCACCCCCCACCCCCAGGAGACATATGACAATAGTCAAAGATATTTTTGGTTGTCACAATTTGGGGATGGGAAGGAGGTTGCTACTAGCATCTAACAGATGAAGTTTGCTAAGCATCCTAATATACAGAAGAGTGATCATCACCCCTAATAACCATCTACCCAAAAAGGTCAATAGTGTTGAGGCTAAGCTTAACTCATTCCAAATTGTAACTCATGCTTTTTTAACTTAATAACATCTGAACTCAAATCTCAGTACATATTAGGGAAATCTGAATTACAGAAAGAAGTTTGACCTAAGATTACTTTTGTAGGCAAGAACAATACAGTATCAAGATTTCTTCTTTCTAGTTCTTCCTATATAACTACATTCTAAAACTTCAAGCTTTTCATTAGGCAGTATGTTTCAGTTGTTTAAAAAGTGTTTGTGGGGAGAGGCTTTTTGTTTGTTTGTTTGTTTTTTATGTTTTTAAATAATAAATTTTATTTTTATATTCCCCATACAACTGCAACCCCCCCCCCATTTTGACCCCAATCCCTCCCCTCCTGCCCCCCACCCCCAAAGAGTGTCTCTGGTTCATAGTTTTTTGTTGATTTTGATTTTCACTTTCTTATAGTTATTCATTTTCCTGGTCCCTTATTTAAGTTTTCTAGATTCCTGCTATGAGTGAGACCATCTGGTATTTTTCTTTTTCTTTCTGGCTTATTTCGCTGAGCATGATCTGTGGGGAGAGGCTTTGAAACAAGATAAGCTTGCTCTAAAATTCTGGCTCTAATACTTACTATGAGACCTTAGGAGAGTCCCTCAGCCTTACTAGGATTCCATTTTTATAATAATAGACTTATAATATTTACCTCAGAGATTAGTTCTAAGTATTAACTTAAAAAATGTATTTAAAACACTAACACATATGTCTAGAATATAAGTTCTAAAAATTTTGTTTAAGGAGAGAACAAAAGTTTTCCCTTGAACTTTAAAAAGTTAAAAGTGTCAGCAACGCTCTGTGTTTTCCTTTACTTCATCATCAAAGAACATTTCTAATAGCAAAATCAGATGGAAGGTGTACTCTGAAAATGACAAAAATTATCTATTAAATTAAAAATAATTACAGTAAATTGGAGAACTCCATGAGAAATCTTTGAGGGAACTAGCTGAGGAGACAATGACTCAGGCAACCAGAAGAAAGAAAAAATGGTAAGAGCTGGACTTTTGAAACTCCCTGCTCTGCTATTACTGTATAACTGGAATCAGTTACTTAGTGACTTTGAGCCTCAATTTCCTCATCTGTGAAATGAGATTAACATCCTTCTCACTGGATAGTGATGAGAACCAATGACAAAGTATGTATAGCATGCAGCATAGGTGGAACACAGTAAGTTCTCAACATAAAATACAAATTTTGTTGTTAAAGTGGGACCAAGAAAACCCAAACATATTTTCTACATATAAAATAATCCCATACATGTCCTGAACTACAGTTCACCTAATTTGTTTTTGTTCTGAGAGACAGTTGTACATTTCTCTTAAAAATCTTTACTGATGAGGCTAGCAGAAGGGGAGTTGGGGAGCTCAGGGGGAGGGGATTCAATGGACTGTGGTAGAGGATTATGGGTGCTCTGATGATGGATGGGGTGTGGTAACATGCATCTAAAGGGATGTAAACCTATACCTCTAAAGCATAGACAGTGTTGTAAGCCAATGTTACCACAATAAAAAAATAATGTGATAATAAATAATTTAAAAATATATTTACTGAGCTAGAAAACATATCTAGTATTCACTGAAATAGGAGAAAGATTTTTACGTAATATTTTTGGTATGGATAATTTTATAGAAGGCGTATTTTTGCTCTGTTTTTACCAATAAGTTGAAATTGCCTACATGGCCAGAAGAGCAAAACAAACATCTTTTGTTTAGCAAAGTCTTTGAACTATTTCCCAACCCCACCGGCAATTTTATCAAAATATTAACATCAGAAAACTCACCTACCATGTTTGGCATAAATATAGGCTTCGAATAACACTTTTCTTAACTTTAATAATGCATACCTCAAAAAGTCAATCTTTCAGAATTTGAAGTTATAATTAAAATAACTAGATGAAAAGGGAGACCTACTGACATTGTCTAAAATATCTTATCATAATTATAAATTTACAAGTAATTTACACAATTATTCAATGAATTATAGGAAACACCTTTGTTATTTATTTCAAAGGTTAAGTCACTAAAAGTTCAAGTCCAACACAAAATGATTTTGCTTACCTCTGGAGATTTCTGTATATTCTGGAATACAGCATAGGCAATAAGTGAACTTGAACCTATAACACTGACAAAGATACAAAGACAATCATTAAAACGGGACGACTGGGGTTCCTTCATTTTTGCTATTGATTTTTCCTTTGTTTTTTCCCCGCTTTATTGATATATAATGGACAAGAAATAATTATTTCAAAAAATATGAACTGCTTCATAAATTTGTGGATCATCCTTATGTGGAGGTCATGCTAGTCTTCTGTGTATTCTTTCCTGTTTTACTTTTTGGGCTGCTAAAGTGAGCATTTGCTATTGACTTTGCAAGTCAAAGTTATTGACCAAGCTGTCTTTTTATTTCCAGATGTTACCCCTCAATCTGTTGTTTACTGTTATTATTATCACTATTGTTACATTTTATTAATCAGAAAATATCAACATGGTAAAGAAAAGCATTTCTCTCTAACTAAAGAGTAAAAACAAATCCCCAGGGAAAGGAGTAGAAAATTTCAGAAGTCTCCAGTTTTGTTTATTCTAGATTAGAAAATCTTATTACATGAAATTAAATAAACTTACCTCAGAGTAGCCATAACAAATTGTATCCACTGTATTGCAGAAAAAAACTAAAAGAAGAGAGAATAAAATTAAACCTTTTATATTTAATATTCAACCTTACTCCAATTTTACTGTTTATTAACTATCGAAGGTGCAAGCTCTTCTTTAATGCCTAATCCAAACACATACAAGTTTCAGAAAGAGCAGAAAGACTAAACAGACCCCTGGAAAGGCAAAGTGGCTCTTTTCCCCTCCTTTATTGCTATGTCTCTGGGAAACAATGAAACGAAAGGAAAATAAAAGTGGGTAGCAAATAACCAAATTAAAAAAAAAAGAGTTGAATGAGACAATAAAGGTAAGCATAAAATGGTAAAGAAGTGAGAAAATTAAAATTTTGAGAGGAGAGAGAGATGTGTGGAAAGAATAACAGGAAAAGTGACAGAGAGACAAAGAAAAACTAGAATAGCAAACAATAGAAAAGTAGAAAGAAGAAAAAATAGTACAGCGAGAGATATGGTTAAGTGGAAAATACAGAACAGGGAGGAAGCAAGGGGGAGCAAAAAGGATGACAGGCACAGTTTCTCCTCTCACCAAGGCCCAGTTGTCCTCCAGAGTGCTCGCCTCCAGTAGGAAGGCCATAGGGAGTTGAGTCCCAGCTTTGCCTACACAGCCCAGTCCTTCTGCGTCAGCTTCTGGAACCGAGGCAGTGAGCAGGTAGCTCCACCCCTGGCCCAGCTGGGCTTCTCCCTACCCAATCCTGTCCTATGTCTTGAGGGCAAGGAGAGAAGGTGGTGACAAGGGGGAGAGATAGCCAAGCAGAAAGATCAAAACAAAAAAGCAGGTGACAAGGAAAGAAAGTTCTAAAAAGCACTAGAAATTTTGAGAAGGGGTAAGGAGCAGGAATAACCAAAAGTAAAGAATGGTCACAGTGAAAAGATTAAAGTTGCAAGAGAGAAATTGAATAGAAAAAAAGAGAGAGAGAACTGGGTAAGAAGGGAAGTCTGCTTAGGAACAGAAGCTGGTAATGGGAAAGAGAAATTGCAAATTCACACAATCAATACATTTTTGTAATACTTGTGCAGATAAGGGGTGACTAATGTCTGTCATATTTATTTAATACTAACGCCTTCTTAAATATTCTGTACCAAAAATTTCTATCAGAAATACTATTATATTATTAAATTACATAATTCATTTAATACACTTACGTTTATGTATCAACTTTAGGTACAACATTATGTTATGGAAGATACAAAGACAATAAGATACCGATTCAGTAGATACTATATAGTATGGTAAGAAAAATTACCTGAATAGCAAAATCTCGAGTGATCTACACACAAAAATAATACACATTGACTAACATTTGAACAGAAGAACTGGTAAAATTTAGACAAAGACTGAGGGAAGGAGAAAGCAGAAGGAAGAATATTTTATTTATGTGGTTATTTATCTTCATATAATCATACTTGCAGACACTTAAGATGATTTGCGTGGCTTGAGATATTTAAACATGACTCTTTTATTCAAGTGAGATTAAGAAATCAGAATGGAGTAAAAGACCAGACACTGTTAAACATAGTTAGGTGCTAATCATTTTGTTTATATTATTAGACAAATAAAAATGCCAGGAAATTTCTGGATCAGAAATCTCTACTATAAGGTCTTAGGAAGAGTTTTGTGGCCTCTTCAGATACCTATATAATAAGGGTGAGGAGACTAATCACAGTCTCACCAAATGATAACAGAATGCTTTTGGACAAAGGACACTTGTCTCAGTGAAGAACAAATCTCAGGTTGTTCAGAGAACAACCAGACTAAATCAGTCTGTTGCTCATGACAGGAAAACTTTTCTCTTTTGGCATCTCTTCTAAAATGTTTTATATCACAGACAGACAATTATAAATCAGAGACATCCTGCAGGGAGGAGGAGGAGGGAGAGGGATCACAGGGAGGGAGGGAGGAGCACAGGGGACTGAGATGATGGAGCACAGGGGAAAGAAATTCTATGGGGACTACACCTGAGGTGGGGGGGGGAAATCAAACACTGTTTAAAAATGAACAATGATGGGCCTCCCTGGTGGCACAAGGGGTTAAGACGCAACCTATGAAGCTATCAGCAGCCACTGCAGCATGAGTTCAATCCTTGGCCAGGGAGCTACCCACATGGTGCAGCAGACCTCTCCTGTCTCCCCCACTGCTCCCCTCAATGGTGTATTTCAGTCCATCTGCCTGTTCTGTTCCCCACTCTGTTTCTGGTGAATCCTCCCACCCCGCACGCCTCTGGCCTGTACCCCAGTTCTTGTATGCATAAATAATAAATAAATCTTTAAAAAATGAACAGTGATGTAAAAAATATATAAAAATAAATTAAAAAAATAAAATGTTTTATATCACTAACCAACATTTGGGGATTTACTTATTTCCATTTTTCTCTTTAAATTAGTCCCTTGTCTTCTATACCATCAGCATTGATCCCAACCAGTCCATTTCCTCTACTTTTTTTTTCAAAATGTACTTTAAACTAATCATTCCTGATGGGTCACACTAACTAGGTGTATCCAAAGCATTTACATCGTCAGAAGCGAATAATTTAAAGTCTAAATGTCTTGAAAAGGGGTTAAGACAGCTAATAACCCCGTACTGGCCACAGGAAAAAACAGAAAATTCTTGAGTTTTATTTTCAAGACTGTCCCCTGCCTGGGCTTAAACTATCTTATTAACTACTATTTCAAGAACACTCTCCAGTAGAACTGGTCATTATGCTCATTACCACTTCTGCTCCCTTCCCACTGGTTCTTCACCTGAAATGTTCCTTTTTCCAAGGCTTAATTCTGTTTCCACCGCCGACATGATGCCTTCTTTAACTATCTTAGTTCACAATGGTTTCCCTCTTTTCTAACTTGTATTATCTATGTAGCTTATTGTGTTTAATAATTAGGGTAAATTGGGGCCTCCCTGGTCGCACAAGGGGTTAAGTACAGCCCTGTGAAGCTATTCCCAGTCAGGGAGCTGACCCACAGGGTGCATCAGACCTCTCCTGACTTGCCTGCTGCTCCCCTCAGCAGTGTATTTCAGTCAGTTTGCTTGTTCTGTTCCCCGCTCTGTCTCTGGTGAATACATACACATGCGCGCGCACACACACAGCCCGCCTTGTACCTCTGGCCTATACCCCAGTTCTTGCATGCATAAATATTGAAAAATAATTAGGGCAAATTGAAACTTCTCCAAAATGACCCACCCTGACACACACTATGGGACTTTTTCTCAAAATGTTTATCCAATCAAAGTGGTCGCCCAAGATTGGACCCTATTAACTTCTGATGATCACTGTTTTATAGACACACGCGTTTAATGAACACATACAGTACTGAATATGCTGTTTAGTCCCTTATAATGTATAATTTATTCCCTTACCCTTACATCCATGTGTCCAATCTTGTGAATTCTACTCTGCCAAACTTTCTCTCCCCTGTTATACCTCGCTGTTATGTGCCATTGCAAGACCTTAACCTCTTCCAGGTAGACTACGGCAATGGACCCTTCTAGATCACTCCTTGCTGGGACCAGCCTTTAGCCTTTGTCCCATAAATGTCTCCTCTTCCAGCTCGAAAGTCATGTGCTGTCGACGACTTACCCTGACATTCCTGAGCAGGACTGACTGGCTCCCCAACCGTTTTCACAATACTGCAATACACTTTCGTCTTATTTTCTACCAAGTGCACTGTGATGGTTCTATCAGTAATCCTGTCAGCTCCGCCCGAGTGGTGAGTGCCCTCAGCACCGCGCTGTTCCTTCTAACTCTATTCTGTATTCCCACAGGCAAAACAGAAAACAAAAAACAAAAACGCTGCCCAGAACAAAAAAATACCCGTTGAACATAAAAGTAGGAATTTTTTTCCTGTTCCTGGAACCTAGGACCTCAGTGCGTGGTACTCGGTTTCCAGCGAGGCTGTCTTTCTGGGGTGCTAGTGCCGGGCCTGGTGCCTCAGTTACGAGGCCGTCGCCACACAGACTGAGGGCGCAGCAGCAGGGGCCCCCCCGGCCTGCACGCTGACTAGCTGCGGGGTGCCGACTAGCCTCGGGGTACCGACTAGCCGCGGGGTGCCGACTAGCCGCGGGGCGCCGACTAGCCGCCGGGCGCCGACTAGCCGCGGGGTGCAGCTGAGGGAAAGGGGACCCGGCTGAAGGAAGCCGCGGCAGGCCCGCCTGAGGCGAAGTGGGCCGACTGAGGGCTGCAGCAGTCTGACTGCCACACGACCGAAGGTAGCAGAGGGTCCCGAGCGACTGCCTGACAGAACAGAAGCAGGAAGGAACGACGGCTAACCTCGCCCACCTCGCAGAGGAGGGGAGACGGCGAGCCCGGAGCCGCACACACGGCCGCCGCACGCTTCGCGCCTCAACTCTCCTTCCGCGGAGGAGCAGGGGGAAAGAACGCGTCTAAAGCCGCGCCGCGCCGAGTGCGCATGCGCTACAGCCCCGCCCTCCTGTTTCCCGCCTTCCGGCTCGTGAGTCCCGCCTTCTCACCCCGAGTGCGTGCGCGCCGCCGAGCTGTTACCCCGCCCCTCGCGTGGCCCCGCCCCGTCGCCCTCGGCGGGCGCGAGCCTCCGGCTGTGCACGTGCGCGCGCCGGGCCCGCCCTCCTGGTCACGTGGCTCCGCGCGGCGCGCTCCGGCGCAGCCTCCCCAGCTCCGGCCCCGGAATCCGGCGTCATGGCGGCCGCCGCGCCCCGCGCTGCTGCTCTCGCCCCGCTGTTCCCCTGCTGCTCCTCCTGCTGCTCTCCGCTCCGCACGGCGGCAGCGGCCTGCACACCAAGGGCGCCCTTCCCCTGGACACAGTCACTTTCTACAAGGTAACGGGGCGCGGCGCGGCGCGGGGGCCGGCCGGGCTGGGCGCGGGGCCCCGGGCGAGGCGCCCCGTCCACCCGCGCACGGGCCGTGGGCGCTCGGGGCCCGGGTCCTCATTGTCGAGCACCTGGCGGCGGCGGTCCGGCGGCCCCTCCCTCTCCTCGCGGGGAGGCGGTGCTGGCGAGGTCCAGTCCCGGAGGCCCACGTGGGAGGCGGGGAGGGCGGAGAACCGTGTTTTTGTGCCTCTCTTCTTGGGGGGGGGGGGGGATTGCCGCCCGCCTTGCGGAGGCGTGCAGGGCTCACATACCCTGCGGCTTCCAGAAGCGCGCGAGCGTTAAGGGTCAGCTGTGCTCCAGCTGCCTCGAAAGGAATAGCTGGGGCCTGGGAACGAGGTGAATAAAATTGATCAAGGCATGGAAGGATTCTCCACTACCCACCCACCATATCTGCAGATCTGGGGGTCCTGGCCCGTAGTAGATGGACACTGTAAATGCTGAAGACTGATTGCAGTCTCAGCTCTTGTTCCTCCTGACTTTCCTCACTGGTGGCTTTTAGCTCTGTCTGTGGGATGGTGGGCAAGCTAAATATTGAGAAAGAGCCAGTCGTCTTATTTTCATAACGTACCCCTTGCCAGGAAGTGAAACCAAAAAGTGGAACTTTAAATCTCTCAAGTGGTTGAACTTTTTGTATTTTCAAAAGGGTTCTTGTCACAGATCTGGAACTTGTGGCTTACTCAAGGCCAGGTTATAAGAATTTTGAAGTGTTGCTGTGGCACAGAGCACCCTTTGCGCCTTCATGGACAAAGGGACTCCCCTGACCCTCAAACATGGGAATGGGATAGCGTCATGGCCAAGTGTGACTTAGAAGGAAACTTGGCACTAACAGTATTTACTAACCAATTGGTGCCTCTCCATCCTTACTGCTACCACCAGTCTAAATGCCAGGACCCTATCTGATTTTTTACAGCACTCCTTAACTTTCTTCATGTCTATTTTATTGTCTCCAGCACGAGGCTATTACATACTTGTGTTTTGTTCACTGATCACCTGCCCAGTCAAACAAGTTATCTGTCAAATTGAAAATTCTCAGTATTTGTTGAACGAATGAGCCAATGTTTTCTCCAGTTCCTTTCTAAACCTCACGCTCTCCCATCATCCTTGAACAGAAGGAGCTTCCTAGCATTCTCATGGCCAGTGTCCTTGTTCCGTGCTTTAACTTTCAGTGATTCCCTGTCTTTTTTTGTTTTTTTTTTTTTCCTTGCTTTTCACCATCACTAGAAATAAGAGAACCTGTTTTCTTCACTGTTCTGTTTACTTAGAACAGTACCTGGCACATAATAGACTCTTAGTATCTTTCTAATTCAATGGATGAAGGAATATTGAATTTATTTGTTCCTTGAAGGAGCAGGTTGGCCAAATATAGGTTATGGTGGAGCCAATTCCTCAAGGATGAGAGGAAAGTAGGTTTCTAAAGCCATTAAGAGATACAGATGGAGTAAAAGAACAAGAATAAAGTCATTGTGCAAATGTTTGCCATTAAAAAAACCATTATGCCAGTGGATAAGAAGGTTAAAATAAAAGATGGGAGCGTGATTCTATTTCAGAATTAGAGCACTGAAAGATTATTAATGTTTTCCATAATACAGATGTAAGCTGCTTGAATGTGGGAATCCTGCTGTGCTTTTACTTTTTTTTTGGCTGTATGCCCCACACTGTTGTGCACTAGGATACAGCAGAAAGCAGATCAGACAGGGTCCTTATTCTCATAAGTGTACGTTCTAGTGGAGAGGACGGGCAACAAACAAGCAAATCATTTCAAAACATGATTAACGCAGTGAAGAAAGCAGAGCAGCATGGCGTGATGGAGGATCAGGGAATGAAGCAGTATTAAAGAGTGCAGGAGGCCTCCCTGTGTGTGAGAGGGGGAGGGAGTAGGGTGAGTCTGAACTGAGCTGAGATCAGTAAATAATAAACAAACCACCATGAAGGGACTAGGGAAGGGCATTCCAGCCAACAGACAGCATGTGTAAAGGCACTGAGTGAAAATAAAAGTGATGTGTTGAAATTGAAGTAAGGCCAGTTGGGCCAGGAGGGATGTGATCTGATTTATATTTTAAGTCTTCCTGATTTTTAGGTCCCCAGAGCTCAGACTTTTGGGGTTCAGTGACCACTTAAACACTGCCTGTTCTACTGGCTTTTCTCCCTTTTCTTGTGCCCCCTGGAAATGTTAGACATTTTTAAAACCAAATGGACATCAGCATACAATAAGTAACAAGGACCAACCAACAAAAACGAATGATGTCAGCTTGACTTAGGACAGTGATTGCCTGCGATGAAAAACTGGCCAGCGGGGATCACTTTGATTAGAAAAACAAAAAGTTGTGGGAGGAGGGAAGGACTGTTACTGACCACAGGCAGTTGTTAGGTAAAATCTGTGCATTGGGAAAAACCATCAAAAGAAAGTCCTTGGGATTCCTCAATAAATTAAACAGAAATACCACATGACCCCGACGGTCTACTCTGGGTATTTATTCAAAAGAAATGAATAGAGGTGTTCAAACACAAACTTGTATGCCAGTATTCACAGCAGCACTACTCACAAAAATCCAAAAGATGCTAACACCCCAAATGTCCATCAGCTGATGAACAGATCATCAAAATGTGGCCTATCCACACAATGGAACATGGGCCATAAAAAAGAATGAAATACTGACTTATGTTGCAACATGGGTGAGCCTTGCGAACATGATGCTAAGAGAAAACAGACTCGGAAGGCCGTACGCTGTAAGCCCCGTCACAGCAGCCCCGAGGGACACAGAGCAGATTTGAGTTGCCAGCAACTGGGCGATGGCTGCTTACTGGGTATGGGGCTCCTTTTTGAGTCATGAAAACTAGATAAATGATGGTTGCAAAATCTTGTGAATGAACTAAATCCCACCAAATTGTACACTTTAAAATGGTGACTTTTATGTGGTATAACATTTTACCAAAATGAAAAATCTTGGCCCTGACAGTTACGTGCCTAGGGATCCAGCCAGAGGGGGACTGTGCACTGGGAAGGGGACATTGTCCCCCGTCTGACCGCTCAGCAACTCTGGGAGACCTGAAGTGGCAGACCTTGAACTCTGGGCCCTTTAGCCAAAGTATCCTCTATGGTGCCAACTTCTTTATAGATGCTTGGTTGGTTAGTTGGCTGTTGTCAAATTTCTGGCTCATTGTTTACCAGGAAAGGCTCCCTGGGAGGATGGGCATGATGGGGGCCAACATGTATGTGCTGAGGGTCTCCCCTGCCTTCCCTAAAGGGCCAGTGGAGAAGAAGGCCTTAGAGCACCTGCAGCTTTTTTATTCTAGACGGGGTTGTAAATGTCTTTGAGCGTGAACAAGTACCTAATGAGGCACCCAGCACAAAATAGGCACCGCTAAATTATTAAATGAATCACTGGGTGAATGAGTGAATAAATATTAGTATGTGAGAACGTGTTTTCTTTGTGGGCTTGGTTTCCACTGTTTCTTAAACAGGGGTGCCTTTGGGGAAGGGATTAGCTCCAAAGGTCCCTGGAACCCACACTTGCTCAGCTCTATACGCCCTCAGGTCATTCCCAAAAGCAAGTTCGTCTTGGTGAAGTTCGACACCCAGTATCCCTACGGTGAGAAGCAGGATGAGTTCAAGCGTCTGGCTGAAAACTCGGCCTCCAGCGATGATCTCTTGGTGGCAGAGGTGGGGATCTCAGGTATGAAGGAGCTCAGATGCCTGGGGAGGGCAGAGAGGGAGGAAGTAGGAATTAATTTCTCTAACTGTAGGGGAAATGCCCAGTACTTTTCTAACGGAGTCACACACAAGGAGTGTCCATGGGGCATTGACCTCTCAAAGAATCTGGTGCCCCTGCCAAGCTCAGCTTGAGCAGATTGTGTGACCTCAAAACCTCAGCTCAGCCTTTCAGGTACCTGAGGGGAGGGAATCCACCGTCCTCACCCTCCATCCCACACTAAAGTAAGCAGACTCCTTGCACAGGGGACTGTTGAGAAAGGGTGTCTGCCTCCTAGGGGACATGGTATTACTCCATCCTCGTTTTCGTTCTTTCGTACCAAAGCTATTAGGTGTGACTTTAGCCCAAATCCACCAGAGCTGCCATTAAACTGAAGGCAGCTTTCAACCACAGCGACAGGTTTAAATAATAATAGTTGCCAGCTTTGAGTGGTCTATTATCCATAAAGAGGTAATTCCTTTTTAATCTTCACTGGAAACCCTGCCTGAGAAGTGAGACACAGTATCTCAGTTTTACTCTTGAGGAAACTGAGGCTTAAGGGGCCTGATGGCATCTCAGGCCATGGAGCAGGAAGTGCACCCACAGCCCTGCACGTACAGGCGTCGCTGAGCTCCCTCCAGCTGGGTGCCTCCAGTCCCGAGTAGATTCCCTAGTGAATTTGAGAGTCTCATCCTGGGTGCAGATGGCCAGCCCATTTCCAGAGCAGTCAGTCATTTTTCTCAACCATGAGTCCATTCCTTGGGGCTTTAGTAATAATAATAGCGGACACTTATCAGCTGTTTACCGTGTGCCAGGCCACTGTGCTAAGTTTTTACACGTATTTCATCCTCGTGACAACTGTGAAGTACTCTGACCCCCGTTTCTCAGATGAAGTGGATGCTTAGCAGAGAAATGTGCTCAGGAACAGAGTGGCAGAACTAATAATGTGATAGGTAGTCTTGGCCATTCTCCTTGGCAGGACGTAGGAAACCAGTCGTCACAGCATCAGTCCTTCGACCTGCTGTTGACAGTTAGGAAGGATGTTGCAAATGCTTAAAGCTCCCAGGTACTAACCACTGAAGTCTACAGGTTAAGTGCACATACCCCTCCAGGCCCTGGGGACAGTGTTCATTATCTACCACGTAACCCCCTTCTCACTACGCTCCAGCTGTATTGGCCTTTTTTAACCCCACATAGGCCTGGCTCGTTCATGCCTCCAAGCTTTTACACTTGCAGGCCGTTCTTCCTGAGAGCTAGGAAGAACTCTCTCCTGATCTTCTTTTGTCTCTTTTTGATGTTCAGGCCCCTCAGCTCATGCCGTTGCCACAGAGAGGCCTTCCGTGACCACCTGAGGTGGGCCTTCTTGTCCAGTCCCGGTCACATCACACTTTATTTTCATCGTGGCACTAATCACTTATGCTCATTTGCTTATTGTCTCTTTACCCTTGAGGTCAGAGACCTTGATACTTTTAATCAAAACTAGATGCCCATCACTTAGAGCAGTACCTGGCACAGAGTGGGCATCTAATATTCAAGATTCCCATTAAATGACTTGACTAATGCCACAAGGGTAGGGATTAGCATAGGAGGAATTGAGGCACAGGCAAGATTTCTTCCCCTCAGCCTAGACAGCCCTCGCAGTGATCACCTGGCCTGTGCTTCTTGTCTTCTCATGTCTGGTTTCTGTTCACAGATTATGGTGACAAGCTGAATATGGAGCTGAGTGAGAAATATAAGCTGGACAGTGAGAAGTACCCAGTCTTCTACCTCTTCCGGGATGGAGACTTTGAGAACCCAACCCTTTATAGTGGGGCAGTTAAGGTGGAAGCTATCCAGCGCTGGCTAAAGGAGCATGGGGTCTACCTTGGCATGCCCGGTTGCCTGCCCGCATATGATGCTCTTGCTGGGGAGTTCATCAAGGCCTCTTCTGTGGAGGCCCGCCAGGCCCTCTTGAAGCGAGGGCAGGACAACCTGGCAGATGTGAAAGAGACTGAGAAGAAGTGGGCCAAACAATACCTGAAGATCATGGGGAAAATCTTAGACCAAGGTGAAGACTTCCCAGCGTCAGAGATGAGCCGGATTGCCAAGCTGATTGAGAAAAACAAGATGAGCGACAGTAAAAAGGAAGAACTCCAGAAGAGCTTGAACATCCTGACTGCCTTCCAGAAGGGGGCTGAGAAGGAGGAGCTATAAAAAGGCACGCCAGCGTTTTGGGGGGTGGGGGTAGGGAGAGTTACCTACTGGCTGTCAGGTTCTCCTGGGATTTGATGGTGTCGAGGAAGAAGTGGCAGTATACTGGAAATCTGAGTATGCCCGGACACTGCTTGGGACATCTCTAGAGCCAGTCAGGGCAGAGCTGGAACACTTATTCAGAGGGCTTGTGAAATCCCCCCCTCAGAAGGCATTGGTGCTATAAAGAGTGTACTGCCCAGGTCCTTGACAGATGTAATTCTGATCCAATTAAAGTTTTGTTGTTTTGTTTAAGTGGATCTGGAGCCATTTGGTTTTCCTTTACAAATTATACTTTGCCCTGGTGACCTGCTTTTCCCTTCTGAACTTATTTTACATTCCAAGCGGGTATAAACTCTCCTGGTAACACTAGAAACTGGTGCCAGCTCAAGGCCTGTCTGTTACTTTCCACTGGTATTGTTTCAGCTGGCCTGATTGTGGTTAGTAAAATGCTTGGTCCTTAAAAATTGAATGACATTAATGAACCTTGCTGTAGTTACTTTCCATACTCCATGAGATATTTATAGCAACTTCTTAGTTTTATTGATATAATTGGGTGGGATTTTGAATAATTGGATTTAGACAGCTGAATAACAATCCAGTTTGAAAGTTTTTCAAAAGGGATTTCCACCTGTTACTTTGTCAGTCACTCCACTATGTACCAGCTTTAAGAGCAGAGTGGGAGAGCATTGCACTGACTCAAGTCTGCTGTCAGGAGTAGTGAATAGTTACCTGCAGTGGTAAAGCTTCATTACACCCCCACTTTCATATTTAGCTATTTTACCCTATCATTGCAGCTCCTTGAAATGTCTGATTACTCTCACACAAATTTAAGTTGAATGGAGTGAGCAAACAGTCTTAAATTGTTGGTGTTCTGTCACTTAGGCCTGATTGGTATTTAAAGTCATTGCAAATGAAAACTGCAGGAAAATCCATGTACTGAATTGAATGGAACAAAAAATTACAGGCTAATAGTTCCAATCAGACATAAAAACTGATCAAACTTAATTGCTTGCTAGTAGCCAACACAGGTACTCTCTACATTTGATTAAGAATATAACTTTCAGGGCCTCCCTGGTGGTGCAAGGGGTTGGGGCGTGGCCTATGAAGCTATCTGCAGCCACTGCAGCACGAGTTCAATCCCTGTCCAGGGAGCTACTCACATGGCACAGCAGACCTCTCCTTTCTCGCCCGCTGCTCCCCTCAGCAGTGTATTTCCGTCAGTCAGCCTGTTCTATTCCCTACTCTCTCTGGTGAATACCTTCACCCCCCCATACCACTACCCCAGTTCTTGTGTGCATAAATAAATCTTTAAAAAAAAAAAAAAGTGTCACTTTGTTGAGTCAAATGCCCATATTCCCCTTACTCATCTAAATTAAAAATTTTGGAAGACTGTTTTGGGTATTTCTCACCAGTAAACTTCACTTAGCTGTAGTTTTTGCTCATCTATGTAAAACAAGGTCACTTCCAAAGACAGTCATCTCTTTTGGAAATTAGAATAAGACAAATGGCAGGTAGGAAAGAAAACTAAAGGCACTTAGTCCCTGCAGGTCTCATCTTGATTTTCAATTCTGCAAGTGGCAACATACCAGGATACTTCATTGGTTGGCTCCACACTGGAAATCACTTATAAATCTAAGGTCTTGAAAAAACAGGGCTATATTAGACAGGAGTAAATTATCATACAGCAGAAACTTGCCAAATATTTTTCATTAAAGAGAGGCCCTGCTTATAGCTTAGACTTTCCAGATAACCTGAAGCACATAAGACCCTAGATCAAAGTCCTGTTGTTAGAAACTTACAAGTTAAACAGGACCAAGAGTTAAAATATTTACAAATCACTTGATATTTGATGCCACCTGCCCGCCCCCGCGATAGAGATTATTAGGAATCTGGGGACTTGAACAGGACCTTTAAAACAAAAAGATGGTGTGGAGGGTTCTGGATTTCAGCTCATTTCATCAATGCTTACAAGGGATTCGGTGGCTCCCTGGTGGTGAAAGGGTTTAAGTCTCAGCACTATCACTACCACTGCAGCATGAGTTTGATCACCAGCCAGGGAGCTGACCCACATGGCGCAGCAGACCTCTCCTGTCTCACCCACTGCTCCCCTCAGCAGTGTGTTTCAGTCAGTCTGCCTGTTCTGCTCCCCACTCTGTCTCTGGTGAATCCTCTCTTCCCCCGCCCCCGCCCCCTGCAGGTCTGTACTCCAGCTCTTGTATGCACAAATAAATGTTAAAAAATAAAAAAGTGGGATTCGTACACAACCCTTACCTGCGTTTTAGATGGTAGACTTATCTGCAGTAACTACTTTTCTCATGTAAAGTGGTAGTTACTAGGATGTATGGAAGCAGGACATTGCAGAAAAACTGCTCCCTCCTCAAGTATAAAATGCTGCAGGTGCCCCACAAGTCATTTTATAAGCACTTGGCTCAGTTGATTCCCCTCCATCTGTCATGTGAAGTATAGGTCTGCATTGAGGCAATAACATCTAAAAAATGAGGAACATGAAAAAGTATAAACCAGAGCAAACCCTTTTTGGTAAAGTTAAAAAAAAAAAGCACTAGCATAGAACTCACAACTGATGAAGCAGGCAAAAAAACCTGACTTTTCAGGGTTCAAAATGGGGCATTTGCTATCACCAGACACTAGAAGAGGAAAACTAATTTCTGCACTGTATTAGCAGCATGTTGAACTAATGATCTTAGTCTTGAGGCTCATGTAGTCCTGGATAAATCATATCAACCCATCTGGAATCCTCCGATAATTTCTCACTGAATTTAGAAATCTTGCTCCTTCCTCCCGCTACAAAGTCCTGAATGCTCTGGTCCTTGCTCTCTTCTATCGCAATCCCTATTCCTTTCATTAAATCCCAGCTACTTGAGCCTTTTCTTCAGTCTCTGGAACATACTCAGCAGTTTCTTGTTTGGGGGTCTTGGCACTTGCACCCCCTTTTCCATGGCCAACTCACCGTTTAGTTCAGATAGCATCACTTGAGAGATCATCCTGACAGTATCACGTCCTGATTTATTTTATGAAACAGAACTTAATAATAAACCAATACTAGTCTCTTCCCCCACCTCGACCACTAACTAGGATGTAAGGTCTCATTTACCATCACCTCACAGCACCTGAAATGGAATCTGGCACATAGTAAGTAAGTACTTGATACCTGTATGCTGAATTAATAAATGCTAGCATGCAAGGTACTACTTTGAACAAAAAGTCTAGTGACCTCGGAGCAAATATTTTAAATTCACAAATATAATTTTGATGGGGAATATAATACTCAGTACAAAATTGAGATTAATTATGTCATTCAAAAAGTGTGTCTTCTATGGATCCAAACAAAATCAGCCAGGCAAGAATGCCAACTTAAGATGTAAGTTTTATAAATTAACCCAGTAAATTTACTATGCTTCACTTAATTCTGATGAAGGAAAAATACTTTCCATATTAAATATGTAGATAAGAGTTTCAACAACAAGACCGTAGATACATTGAAACCCCCTTTTATATTAAAAGTTAAAATGAAAGACAATCCAGATCCAACAGAGTGATTGCAAAATATAATGCAATTTTGAACAATTAAAATTATGAAAATATACAAAATAGATGGGTGACACAGCTAGGCATTTGTACATTTTCCATTATGTGGAGAACACTAAAAATTTATCTACCTTTTATCCACATCAGATAAACAACCAAATGTTGCTTTGGAGAATCTTAACTTAGGATCTCAGTAGTATAAAAAGCAGTAATTTTTCAGTCTGTAAACAGTAGTCAGTCGTGTTTTTTTCTCATTTCTGTTTTTTTTTAAATATCAACCACACAAAAACAAACAAACAAACAAAAAAACCCACACAAACCAAAACAGCAGCAGCAGCAGCAATGGGTTATTTAGGAATTCTCTTCAAATACCAATGACGTACAATTGCTAGAGAGGGTGACTTTACTCATGTAAGAATATATATATATATTTTTTTTTAACTGTACACAATTTATAGTGCATGACAGTTTCAAAAGAACAGATCAGTAAAAGATATTGGCCATTTCTGCATAATTTCATTTTTTTACAATTATCTCAAAATGTAAGAGGTTGGATCTAATTGAAATGCTACATTTAGTAGGAAAATCAGCAAGTACTAGAGGAAACATTATTTGTCACTAAAACCAGTGGAGGTCCCAGAAGCCCCTAGACAACTATCAGCGGGGAACACTGGAGTCCCACATTGTCCCTGAGGCAAGGCTCGCCCGGGAGTACAGGTGCTGAATTATTGTGGTCATTTGATGGACTTGTTTCAAAGAGCATTTCTAATTCTATGTACAGTATTTTTGGACATTCAAAGAAACGTCATTTTAAGAACACATGCCACAAACACACAAAGCTCCATCAAAATGGGCCAGTTTTATGAAATTATGATATGTTGTCATTAAACTATATTCAGAATCAGTCAGAATTTTCAATTCATCTTGTTCAAGGCAGTTCTTCCTTTTGGGATGGGCTGCAACAGCTACCAATTTACATCAAAAATATTTTTAATTACTTGGACTAGGATTTCCAACAAATCTTATTTTGAACAGGTAATGTACTTTTTTCTTAAAAAATTCCTTTCAAGTTTAAACAGTTATTAATCGCCCTATCAAACTGTGAGTCTAAGATGAGAGGACACAATGCAGTTGTTTTGCATACAGAGATTTTCCAAGCTGTCTTTTGCTTTTAAAAGAAAAAAAGCATCACATTTTCACTGTAAAGGTTAGTTGGAAAGAACTTTTAAGATCAAGACCAATCCTACGTCAGTGCTTGAAATGCCTCATCAAATTCATGTCTTTGCTCTTACAGAATTGCTAACTTTAACAGTATTTGGGTACAAAAGACCAAAAGAGAAGCACAGATTTAAACACAAAAAGTTATCAAAGCAATTGTATAAACTGTATAACATTTTCAAGAGCAATGTTTAGCTTTTTGTCAGACCAACCTCTGAAGCTGTAGTCTTGGGGAGCTCCAGATGAACAATATAAACGCCATCCTGATGTCATTCTCAAGCTCAAAGAAAGTAAACAGAACCTCAGGCCCAAAGAGTTAACATTTCTTTTGCCAGTCTCAAAACTTACGACTAGGTTAAGTCCATAATATACATTCCTTCCTTCCCAAGACCCCTTAAAAAAACATTACTTAATTTTGAGCATATATATATACATATATATGTAAAAGCATATACATATATAATATATATATCTCACAAAACCAATGACATTAGTATCAGGCTTGCCTGCATAAAATATGTACACCTCTCTTTAAAACAGTGATTCCCATCTTTCCCAAATGGATGAGGGACAGCAAGCTGGCCCCGGGAGGCTCATCAGTGGTCTGCACTGCTCTCTCCTTCAACAAGACGCTGACAGCCTGTCTGTGAGGTAATGCTCACAGGAGCTGGGGTGGAATGTCTTGGCTATCAGGACTCTAGGGCAAATAACGAGCGTCTGTCATCACCTGTGTGGCACCCTTCATGGGCAGGTGCTTGTGCCCAATGTCATCTGAGGCCCTGTGGGTACTTGGCTGCCCCCACCACTTCTGCTTTCAAGGCTCAAGGACCGCACTGCAACGCCCACTGCTCTAATGGTAGGGTCGTTCGGCGGCTCTGAGGTCGAGGCTTTATGCTTAATTTCTATTGCTGCTTTTACAGGACACCCCCTACATACACCAGAAGTTTCTGGCAATGGGAGGGATGAAGGTGGGTTTCTCTTGTGGCTGCCATATACTTATGAACATGTATAAAAAGTGGTCAAACCCAGATGAGGGTCCTGCTTCTGGTTTATATACAATAATTTAATCAGTGTATACATTTAATACCTAAAAAATTAATTCACAATCAAAGTCCTTCATGCATTTTATGAGGAAGTTCTGGATTAAAATGATGGTCAACCAGGTGTAGCTTTTGCCTGGGAAGATGATGTCATTTTCTGTTGTAGAGTCATCAGTGCCTGTGGTTCACACTTCTTAAATTTTTAGTTTCTTTGTGGTCTCAAGTCTTTTTTTCAGCAGCTCCCCAATTTCCAGAAGTGAGTGCAGATAACTACTCTGCACCTTCCCTTGCACAGTCTTTGAATATTTTCTCTCTTCCTACAAAGGAGACAAGAATTAGTGGTCTTTCTTAGAAAGAATTACCTGAGATTATAGTTTCTCAGATAGTTAAAATTATACTACATCTGGTTTCACTGTAAGCCCCATCAGAACAGCAGGGGTCACTTTCAATTTCATAAAATTCAAAGGCTAAAGTTCATCAGAAACGTCTATTTTTCCATGTGATTTTTCACTGAGACCCTGTTGCTTTAGCATCATTCTTTCAAGTAACTTTTGTTAACAATATAACTTAAATAAGGGACCAGGAAAACGAATAACTATAAGAAAGTGAAAATCAAAATCAACAAAAAACTACGAACCAGAGACACTTTTAAGGGGGCGGGGTGGGAGGGGAGAGATTGGGGTCAGAATGGGGGGGCTGCAATTGTATGGGGAATATAAAAATAAAATTTAGAAAAAAAAAAAAAAAAAAGAAGATGTGGTACATATATACCATGGAATATTACTCAGCATTTAAAAAAGATAAACACATGCAATTTGCAGCAACATGGATGGCGCTGGAAGGGATCATGCTCAGCGAAATAAGCCAGAAAGAAAAAGAAAAATACCGGATGGTCTCACTCATAGCAGGAATCTAGAAAACTTAAATAAGGGACCAGGAAATTGAATAACTATAAGAAAGTGAAAATCAACAAAAATTATGAACCAGAGACACTTTTTGGGGGGTGGGGGGAGGGAGGGGAGGGATTGGGGTCAGAATGGAGGGGTTGAAATTGTATGGGGGAATATAAAAATAAAATTTATTATTAAAAAAAAAACAATATAAAGTAAAAAAACAGATTTCTGAATATTAACTTTTACTTGAGAAAAAGGGGTAAAATTATTATTAAGTGGGCATAACATCACTAATATTTCATTATGAGATGTACAAAGTAAAAAATTGAGATTTCTGGTTATTATTTTTCATCAAGAGAAAAAAAGAAATTTATTATTAATTTGGACATCATCATACCCACTTTTTAAAGGCATCAAATTTACCAGTATTATCTTTTCTGGTTACAGCACTGATAGGTCATCTTCCATACTGACAAAGTATAAGCGTTCAAGACACCAAACAACTATAAGACCAAAGCTCTCCTAAGACTACTCAGACATGTGAGTTAAATCTCTGCTCCATATCTGACCTGTGGCAGAGACCACAATGCGGCGAGGCCTGTTCAAACAGTGAAAGGCCGCGGCCTGAAATCTGCTTAGCTCTACACAAGGTTAGTCGTAGTCCAGAAGAAACCAGGTAAGTACATCTTATAACCCAAGACTACTACCTGAGATTTGATCAGTCTTAAAAATATAAACGTAATTAGAATGTACCAGTTCATTTCATTTAGTACTGGATGTAGAAGCAAATGTATGGGAACAACTTCAAATGCCCAGTGGCTCTGGTGCACTCAAAAAATAACAAGACTGAGCCTGAACAGACCTCTTGAATAGAAAAGGCTGAGTGAAAAAAATGCCAAGTTTCAGAATAAAGAGTACAGCATTTGCTTTTCAAAACTTAACAGATTTAAGAGCACTCTATAAAGTTACATTAAAACCATATGTTGTAAAAAAAACACAAATAATACTTTGTATTTTCTCTAAGAATAAATTCAAAACAATAAAAGCAAAATAATCTGGGTATATTAGCAGTATCAGAGCAGACGCCTAGTGAAAAGGGCACCAGGACTCAAGGTAGTCAGAAGCTTTCTAGTGCTTTAAGCTGGGAAAGAACGGAAGAAAGAAATGAACCTAATAAAAACGGAATTGGAGGATTTGTTGATGTTTTCAATCCAAAAGACAAGTACCCAGCACTATATGGACCCTCTACTAGGTGCTGTGCTGCCCAGTGTATGTATCAGGATTTGAGCAAAAGCAGGTAATATAAGTGCGTTATGGCTTGAAAAATCTAGAGACAGTGCAAAACTAAGGATAACCTTTAGGACACTCAAATCAAGAAATCTTAATCCTCATTTCAGGAGGCAGATAGACTTTTACTAAGACCCGCCACTCAGCACTCACAGCAGCTGGAAATAGCAGCCTGTGGCTTTCATCTCCAGCAGTCCTTCTACACGCCGTAGATTCTGGTTCCAACGTCTGCTCATGGTGCCCCACACAATCCAATTTCCTGCCTTATGCTTCTGTCTATGCCTTCTTCTGCTTAGAATTCCTTTCCTCTACTCCCATCTGCCTCATGAAAACTTATTAGTCTTCAAACATCCCCTCTCTCCAGGGAGACATGACTCATTCAGATTTTTGTACCTTCATCACATCTCCAATTTGTGTGTGTTCCTTTCTACAGCCAGGCCACTGATTGTAATTAGCCCAACAACAGTGAGCACAAAACATTCCTGCTCATAGCTGAGCTATCCGGCAAAGGCAACTATGTGACATTCATTCCAGTGCGTAATGTTTAAGATTTGTTTGTTTGTTTAAAAAAAGGCACTGTAATTTTGAAGTTGTGTTCTTCTACAGCATTCAAAAAGGGGATGAGTATTTGGACTAGAGGATGAGTTTGGGTTTGGTCTCAAGAGTAAAATGTTGAGCAGCTCATAAAGTACCAGACTTATTTATATGCTACAGTGTTCCAAAAGTACAAATAAGTGTTTCCTCTTTCAAAGTGGTGTGCAAGTGAGACACAGAAGGCAAGGATCCAACTCAGGATATACCTGTTTTCTCAAGGATTCGGTTATTTGGCCTAAATTTACTAGGTCCTCAACATGTGTTCTAGGAATACAGACAACGGGGGTTGGGAGTTCTGGCTTCTGGATGTAGGGACAGGGACTGATTTGGGGCAGTAAACTAGGAGGTGCTAGCCTTTATTCACTTGTAACAAACACACATTTTGTGTGTAAAGAAACAGTAAAATACTACAAAAGAGAATAAGGTATATAAGTACTCATATGTAGTATCTCCTAGTAACTGAGTACAGAAAGCAAGGGGGAAACAATGTGAACAGCACGCTACTGTTACGTAATGTGAGGAGCAGTGGGAGGTAAATGGAGAGACCTGATGTGCTTGTAGATGAGCTTGTAGATGAGTATCTAACTAAGGAGGGCTGCCCGAGAAACACTGATAACCGGCCTTCCTCCTTGGAAAGGGAACTAGGAAACTGGGGTTAGAATGGGAAGAGAAATTGCGCTGTGTATTCTTTCTTTACTCTTTGAATTTTTTTAAATCTTGTACGTATTTTACTTTTCCAAATAAATATAAGGCTTTAGAAAAAGGAAAAGTGAAATACTAAAATAATCCATCAATCGTTATTTTAATCCCTACTGAAGTCTAAATTCATTCTAATATACATAGAAAAACCACTGAGTACACTGCTTAACTGGCTGAAATCAAACATCCAAATGCCACTTGTCAACACATGTCTGCTTTCTGTAAACCAGTACTAATTCTACTCCTCGCCAATCCATCATTAGTTTTCATAGTAAAAGAACAACTCCAAAATTATAGAGAAAGGAGAGAAGAGGGAGGGAGAAACACCCATAGTCACCAACTATTCTCAGGGACTTTCTGATTACAAGTCCTATAAGGAGAGAATGATACACTGAAAATAGCAACTTGTCTTTTTCATAAAGATGAGGACATTTGAATATGTATATATAACTTATTAATGATAGCCTGCAAGTCTCTTACCAGTGAGAGGGAAGTGTCTTCTATTATAAGTTCTTCAAGTTTAAGTGCAATTAGATGTGTTTCAAGCCCTTTAATGTGATCCACAACATTGGAAATCAAGGTCTGAAGCCCAGTAACATAGTCTTGGAAACTGGTAAAGACAGGTGGCTGGAAAAAAATATTTTTTTACAAGTTAAAAGATTGTGAGACATATTTCCCATGCTTATACCACACAAACTAAACTAATTTCATTACAGCATTACTTAACTTAATGCTATTAACAGTAACCAGGATTGATACAATTTTGGATATGAAGGCATTCTCTCAAACCAAGATAAATTTAATTGCCACCAAATATAGGTAACCCAGCAATGATGACAAGCTTTTTTTCCCAGAGGTCAGGGGGAGGGGGGATTAGGGGGTTCATTTCACTCTGAGGAACTAGAGGTGAAAAACCAGTAGAATATCTTCATTGGTCATTACTCAGTTTAATGCTAGAAAACTCTTAGAAAACTAAGAGTACCCAAAGTTTCATCACCTTGATTTATATCTTTACTATTTCCTGAAAGATTAATAACAGAAATGGGACATTCTGAGTTCTAATGGAAATAATAAATCTTGGGTGACAACACCCAAGTTAATTCTGAGAAAGTAGTGAAGGGGAGCTGACCCTAATGGATACTATATTTACAAAGTTACATTAAATCCAGGTGACACTGGCATATAAGCAAATTGACAAGGAGTGAAAGGAACAAGCCCCAAGAAAGAATGAAGGATACAAGAAAATTTAAATGGTGGTATTTCAAAATAGTGGCTTCAAATGGATGAATGGAACTGAGATAACCAGCCAAATATTTGGAAATATAAAACAGTAAATACTGGGCCTCCCTGGTGGCGCAAGGGGTTAAGACACAGCACTATGAAGCTACCCACAGCCACTGCAGCATGAATTTGATCCCCAGCCAGGGAGGTGAACCATATGGCGCAGCAGACCTCTCCTGCCTCGCCCGCTGCTCCCCTCAACAGTGTATTTCAGTCAGTCTGCCTGTTCTGCTCCCCACTCTGTCTCTGGTGAAACCTGTCATCTCTTGCACCTCTGGCCTATACCCCAGTTTTTGGATGCATAAATAAAATAAATCTTTTTTTTTTTTTAAGATTTATTTATTTATACAAGAACCGGGGTATAGGCCAGATGCGCAGGAGGGTGAGAGTATTCACCAGAGACAGAGCAGGGAACAGAACAGGCAGATTGACTGAAATACACTGCTGAGGGGAGCAGCCGGCGAGTCAGGAGAGGTCTGCTGATGCCATGTGGGATTCTCACTGGCCAGCTGGGATTGAACCCATGCTGCAGAGGCTGTGGACAGCTTCACATCGTGGCACTCAACTGCCTGCGCCACCAGGGAGGCCCCAATAAAATAAATCTTTTTAAAAAAATAGTAAATACTACAATCAATTCTACACAGATTAAATACTTAAGTATTAAGAGAAATCCATCAAAACGCCAGAAGAAAATATAAGTAACGACTTCCATAATCAGGAATTTAAGATGCCTTTTTTTTTTTTTTTTTTTTTGCATAGAACTCCCAGGCCATGAGGAAGGCCCTAAAATGCCTTTCTAAACATAACACTAAACAAGAACCATTTTTATTTCTTTTAAAATTTACCATATAGACAAAAAAAAAAAACAAAACAAAACAAAACCCCAAGTTAAAAAATAACTAAAAAAAACCTGTACCATATGTGACATAGAATTAATAACTACTGTGTTAAGAGACCAATAGCTCAAAACATACCATTAGGAAATTTGGGCAAAGACAGGAACAGAAAAAATATCAAAAATATATTTTTGATACAATTAAAAAAAACCAGGTAACAGAAGAAACCTAGCTAATGAGCTGGCTAGTCTGGCTAGCATTTCACTCAAGAAGTCCTCTCGAGAGATCCAACTTCAGAATTTTTTGTAGAAAGAAAAAAGGGAATACCAATGTTTGTCTATTAGATGGGTAAAGACATAGACAATACTATGTCAAAGTTATGAGCTACAATCCGTATTGACTGACATCAAGAGGTGAACAAGACAACACCAGTAAGTGAAAACAAAAACAGGCAAGCTGCAGAACCTCCTATAGAGCATGGTTCTGGTTTCTTCACAGCTGCTATCATCAGTTGGTGGGAATATAAGTGATCTGCATTTTTTTCACGTCTTTAGTTTACTTTGGTCATCAGAAAAATAGGAAAGCTATTCTCATTTTTGAAAATCAGAAAAGCAACAACTACAAATACCAAAAGGCTACCGGACCAGTGCTAGGACCACAGGCTTTCATCAGGAGAAAGCACCAGACAGCCAACTTTGCACTAACAATCTATTAAATTATCTTGAAAAAGTAGAAAGAAAAAGGTTTGAAATTTCATTCAGTCACTCATCCAAATCTAAGTACCCTTTCTAGATGAATAAATGGTAACATCCAGCACAGCACAAATCTATAAAGAACCCCTGAACTGTAGAGGAAGTCAATTTTCCCACTAAAACCATCAATGCTTTCAGATTGCAACAATTACTATATTGGCACAGTGAAAAAAAATCTCACACTAATAATGATAGGATGAATTGAAACACTAATAAAACAGTATGTCATATACAGAATCAATCTGAAGTAATTTTCCTTATGAAAAGGACACAAATTGGGGCCTCCCTGGTGGTGCAAGGGGTTAAACACTGCACTATGAAGCAATCCACAGCCTCTGCAGCATGAGTTCGTTCCCCGGCCGGCCAGGGAGCAACCCACATGGTGCAGCAGACCTCTCCTGTCTCGCCCGCTGCTCCCCTCAGCAGTGGATTTCAGTCTTTCCTCCTGTTCTGCTCCCCACTGTGTCTCTGGTGAATCCTCTCACGTACCCCACCCCCCACCACCTCTGGCCTGTACCCTAGCTCTTATATGCAAAAATAAATCAATCTTTAACAACAACAACAAAAAAAAGGACACAAATTATGTCTGACACATCCAAAAATTATGTTAATAAAGATGGGAGGAAATGCTAAAATTGAATACAAATAGAAATAAATAAACCTTATTTAGTTCACACTAATAATATAATCTCAATTTTTAAAACCAGTGCTTTTAAAGCGTAACTTAATTATCTACATGCACTAGAATATTAGAAGGATGAAAAAGAAAAAATATACGAACTTTATTTAGTGGGTTTGCTCTCAGAACTAGCAGTAGAACTCATGTGCGAGTGCTGAAACTATTTGAAATTATTAGTGGGAGTATTAGAGGAGGAAAAGAAGCATGCTAACAGAAAGCCATGTCAGGACCTTAGTAGGATTCTAGTATTTTGGGAAAGGGACTCGGAAGGACATAATTACCATAACGGGGAAATTTTAAATATGGACACTATAGTGTTATTATTTAAATAGTGAATTTCTTGAGTGTGAAAATGTCTTCAGGACTGTGATTGGGTAAGTGACTGCCCTTCTTCTACCTTGGAATGTTAGTATTACAAAGACTACACATCTTTCAAATGGCCAAAGCAACGAGAGGAGGGTGGGGAAAGAACAGAGATTAACCAAGTATAGCAAACTTAAAAAGTGGTGAATCTTAAAAAGTAATGAATATAAACAAGATATTAGGATGTTGTTACAGTAGTCTTTCAGCTTTTCTACAGCTGTGTAATTTTTTTTAAAAGTTGGGGAGAGAAAATAACATAGAAGCCTAAGGTCTCTTATACATTCATGAAAACAGTGAAAATTAAACACAGCCTGCAGCCAGGTTGTAACATGTGTCTTTACGTTATTACCATGATGATGCTCGTCTCTTTTTTCTTCTTTTTCTTTTTCTGTAAATTTAATTTATATGGTCGCAGAACATTCTCACAGTAACTGGACACCCAAAGGATAACAGAAATAGTCTGAAAGAGAAAAAATGGTAAATTTATCGGTAAGGATTATACTTAAAATTTCTATGAGATACGGTTAAATGTAACAGATTAAACAAAGAAATTCTGATAGTTGCTTCCAAATCCCTTCACTTTTTCCTCTAACTCTACGTTCTAATTTTGATGATTATCACACTGACAGCATCTGCTGCAGCACCTGCTGATGAGAATACTACCACAGCTCAAACCTTTATCCTTTCTCCTGGTTCTCCCAGGTCTAAACATCCTCCACTCAATCCAATTTCCTTTCACTTCTATACAGAAGTGGAAATCTAATAACTTTCTTTAAATTCAAAGGAAAAGTTTAGATTCCTAAGCATGGAATCCAAAGGTTCTTTTCAACCTTCTCTCCAGTCAGGTAAGAAACTGCCTCAGCTGAAAACCTTAAATACATAGAGAAATCTTCCCAATTGGGCAGTACATATTCTCCTTTGTCTTAAGTTAGGTATTTACATGTCCTCTCCTGTGCTAAAGTGTGTGCAGATACTTATCATTATTCATTCATTAAGTATTTCTTAGACAACTATCAATTCTCAAAACAGAGAATACTGTCCTAGGGAAACTTATAACTAAAAGGGGAAGAAAAGTGAATAAACATAAGCGAAATAAAAAGAAAGATAATGGATCATGAGTGGTAGCAACCTTTCTCTTTTCCCTACTTAAAAAAAGAGCAGTTTTGCTACATCAGATCCTGAATTCTCTTTCATAAAGCAGAATCTCAGAAATTAGTAATCAGCAACAACAACAAAAAAGAAACTGTTGGCATTAATTTAAATAACATAATAGTTGAATCAAAGGATAATGAAGAGAAAACAGCTACATATAGGGTAAATCAGAGGATATTTAGAGGTGGGTAGCAAATCTTAAGAACTTTTACCTAAACATTATGAATGAAATCTTAATATGCTTCAGAAGGTGTCAATTACCTGTTCATTTTTTGAAAATTAAACCTGCATACAATTAAGGAAACTTGAGTTTTTCAGGAAGACAACAAAAACATACCTCAACAAAGAAGACTAGGTTTTCTAAAAGACTAGGATGTGTTTTCAAATTACCATCTTTGACTTCTAAAAGGTCACCTTTACATTTACTGAAGACATCTAAAAACAGAAAAATAGTTTATGGTTTTATTCAGCTTTTGTTTCATGCTATCTTTAAGACACAACACATAATCTAATAAAGAATAAGCAAATGTGAAAGCTTCCTCCAGAAAGTTTTTTCTTCCCATAATAAACCAAACACCAAAAACTATTTTAAATTCCTTAATAAGTCAAGTTGTTCAAAATATTGAAAAAGCTCTACTGCCTTCAAAGTAGAAAAGGTGGTCTTATAAACTATGTTATAGGACTTAAACACCAACAAAGCCTTCCCACAAATGCCTGGCACGATAAAATTGAGATTCCAATTGAGTGGTTTAGATGATTTTGGCTATTATGGACCAAAAGACTAAAATGCATGGGAGAAATGCATCTAAAAAAATACTGCTTATTGGGCCTCCCCTGGTAGTGCAGTGGTTGAGCGCTGGGCTGCAAAGCTGCCCGCAGCCTCTGCAGCGCCAGTTTGATCCCCGGCCGCTGGCGAGGGTCCCACATGGCGCACAGACCTCTCCTGCCATGCCCGCTGTTCCCCTCAGCAGTGTATTTCGTTGTTCTGCCTGTTCTGCACCCCACTCTGGCTCTGGTGAATTCTCTCACCCTCCCGCGCTTCTGACTATACCCAGTGCTTGTATAAATAAATAAATAAATCTTTTTTTTTCTTTCAAAAGCTAGTTGAAAAAAAAAACACTGCTTATTAATCTCATAATCTTGATCCTCTTTCAATTTTCATTCTCCATTTGGGCAATAAAAGAACTACTTAAGCTTCTGAAAAGACCCGATAGGTTTAAAATGTGACCAATTCGAATTCTAGAAATTTAATCCCAAGGAAATACTTGAGTAAAGTACTCAAACACTTGTGTCCCGAGATGTTCATTTCTGTATTGTTATAAATATGTTATTATAAGTAACTCATAGCATAATATGCTATGTACTTAGTGGGGAGTACATAAACAAATTTGGTATGCTGATATATGCTATGGAATATTAAGCAGTCCTTAAAACTAATGGAGTATGTATAACTGACAATGTAAGATAGCCAAGATAACAAAAAATTAAAGCCAGAAAAGCACATTTTATATCCTTTCTTATATTAAAGAAAAATTATTATTCTCATCGGTGTTATATAGGAGTAAAGCCCCAAAACAGTACTTAGTTACCTCTGGGGAATGGGGCTAGAAAGGGGGAAAGATCACCCCCTCCCATTTGTGTACTGTTTTATAATAGGTTTCTACTACTTTTGTAATCAAAACTTTTTAAAGTCAAAAACACGCCTTTTAAAATACCAAAAAGCATGACTATTTTCAAATCCTCTTACAAGCTTTTATTTTAAAAAATGAGCATGAGGGCCTCCCTGGTGGTGCAGCGGGTTGAGCACTGTGCTGTGAAGTTGCCCGCAGCCTCTGCAGTGCAGGTTCCATTCCCGGCCTGCCAGGGAGAATCCCACATGGCGCGGCAGACCTCTCCTGCCTCGTCCGCTGCTCCCTTCAGCGGTGTCTTTGGTCCATCTGCCTATTATGCTCCCTGCTCTGTCTCTGGTGAATTCTTTCACCCTCCGGTGCCTCTGACCTGTACCCCAGTTCTTGTATAAATAAATAAGTCTTAAAAAAAATTAAAAGTGAGCATGAGGGGCCTCCCTGGTGGCACAGGGGTTAAGTCTCAGCACTATGAATCTACTGCCAGCCACTGCGGCATCTCAATCCCCAGCCAGGGAGCTGACCCACATGGCACAGCAGACCTCTCCTGTCTCCCTGGTGCTCCCCTCAGCAGTGTATTTCAGTAGATCTGCCTGATCTGCTCCCCACTCTGTCTCTGGTAAATACTCTCACCTCCATACCTCTGGCCTGTACCCCAGTTCTTGCATGCATAATTAAATATAATAAATCTTTAAAAAAGCATGAGGATTCCAAAGAAGGCTTACCTTTTAATTGTTCTAATAAAGACTTAAGACTATTCTCTATGCGCTCCTGGATCTCCACTGTATCCTCTAAATTTGAAAAAAGAGTGAAATTTTTTCAGTTCTTTATTTTTCAGTAAGATAAAGATCAATGCCTGCAAGCATCTCATGAGCAAGAGTATTTTTCTCTTAAAAAGCAAAGGAATCTAAATTCTATTACTGAGAGAGAAAAAGGTGAAAGGGCAAGTAAGGTAATATATTCACTACCTTTCTGACAAAGCACTACCTAAAATTTTCTAGGAAGAATTGAAATCTGTGTTTCAAATACTCTAAATGTCAAGCTCAACAAAACTTACGATTTAGAAACCAACCAACACAGTCTTATAGAACATTTGTGGTTCTCACTAGGTTTGAGCGCTTGGGGGAAAAAACAAAACAAAACACCTATTCTCTACAAAGTTGAAAGCTTCACTGTTAAGGAGTTCAATCTGAAATCCCACAAAATTTCAACAAATCAAGGATTTCTTCAACTTTTGGACCTAACAAATGACTTACACAAATGTTTTAGTTTCTAACAGATTCCTGTGTAATATGTGACTATACTTTCTTTAGATTAAACCAGACATTTATAGAAGAGTTTCATCTTATTTTCCCCAATATTTGAGGTTATATTTTGTTTACTAGATAAATATTTCTAAGTTTTCCATGACAAAGACCTGATAATATACTCAAGCAAGTGTATACTTACCCAAACCATTGGTATCCAGCTCATAAATATCACTAACAAGATAAAAAGAGCTGATCTGACAATGAGAACAACCAGAATTTAAAAATGCAGCCATTCTTGTAGGTACAGGACCGAGGAAAGGATACTGGAAAAGAAAGGGTGAGAGAAAGTTATCACCTTTAAATATTATTAAATTAACACAAAGTAAGAAAATATGGGACTGTAACTATTTGATAAAAATCTCTTGGTAATTAACTTACAAGTACAGATCAGTAAACTAAGAACTAAATCATTATTGTGAAAATAGAAATACTATAATTAGTTTACTGATAGTTTTTAGAAAATTTATCATTACAAAAATAAACCTATTTTGCTTTTTCTCATATCCAGTTTAGATACTGAGGAAGAGTGCAATTCCCCTGGCATATTTCCTTTTTCCACAGATGCCATAAAGTGGGAAAAAAATTGTTCTTTATTATTCACCCACAACAAACTCTTTTTTAAAAGGACAGTCAGGTTACTGAAGTTTCTATGGTAATACATATTCCTCAGTATATACCTGAATTTCTTTCTCAATAAATCGCTTTCCCTCCTCCAGGGTCACTTCCAACTGCTGAAGGAGCAAACGAAGAATATCAATCCGGGAGGATACACCATTTTCAGTGGTCTTCTCTGAGTTCTTTGGTTCCACGGGGTGGTTAAGACTTGGAAGCCCACTGATCAGCCTCAATGTTAAGGAACGGATTCTTAACCACATGGTCTCCTCCTCCAAGGAAAGTTTCTTATGTTCTTCAGAAACATCCCTTAAAAAGAAACATTCCCAGACAGTCCTTTTATTCAATGGGCTGCCTTTAAGTCCTTCAACAATCACTTTCATTAGTCAAGATGCCTTGAATGGTCCCAAATTTCACTTACTAGCTGAATGATCTTGGATAAACCAAAATTGCTCAAGTCTACATTTTGGTATAAAACGTAAATAACCTACCTAATAAGTTATTTCCCAAATGAAATTTGCTTTGCTGATGGTAAATTATATAAAATACTCAAAGGACAGAATAAAAAAAAAAAAAAAACAGAAGGAAAATATGCCTTGATAAACAAACACCCAGTATATTAAGAAGTTTGGTATACAAAACCTCTCAGACTGTCGCAATATAGATATACAAAAGTGCAACAATATCTAAACCAGTAAACTGGGTTCACAATATTTACACTATTTTGCAAAGTACATTTCTTAAATAAGAGTTAATATAGCAGATCCAACACCATCATTTTAAAAGAGTGTTGGCAAGACTGGTCCTGGCTAGTGTCTGGCCCTCCAATCATTCTCTAAGTGACAGGAGTGGCTCACTGTGTCTAGAACACCTGGACCAACTGTATGGTGAACAGCTGCTTTCCTTCTGGAATCTGGAGTAGAGGCACATGTTGGACAGATGTGCTACAAAGCCACACAATAACAGTCTTGGGCATTAAATCTCTCAGGTTTCCCTGGAAAAAAAAAAACACTGCACGGGCATTACCGCACTTTTTTGCTAGAGAAAGCAGCACACTCGGCACATCTCCTCACAGGTCGGAGAGTGCACTGCAAATCTGTGTGTGGAGTTCTCCAGACTCCACCTGTATCTTCTTGCCTGTCATGTATCCTTTTGTTATAAGGATACGGTAAATGCATCATTCTTAGCTGTAAATGCATCACTCTGGAGTCCCAAGAGTTCTTCTAGCAAATCACTGAATGTGGTCTTGGTAATTTCCAAATTGCAGTATATTCAAAACTACCTCATACATGTCACTGCATGTTTTGCATTTATTTCCTGAGGTTTCGCTCTTCTAGAACTAGAAATGCTGATGAAATGGCATACAGCAGTTTCAATCTTGATACATCATTAAAATTCCCTCACAGAAAGAGACCAATCCCATGGAAATAAATATACAACAACCATTTTCCCTGCAGACATACCGGCCACAAGTATTAATCTTTTTTATCTTTGTCCAATAGGCTGAAAAAATGTAACTGCTGTAAGGTGCAGTTTTGAACTTCCTATTAAGCTCTTTGCCTCAATGTTTTTTAGTTATCTTCTTATTATTGATTTATTAAGAGTTGTCTATAAATGTGAAGGATATTAATACATGCAGAAATTTATGATTTACCACATACCTTTATAACGTTATATTTCTATATAGAGGCTGATTAGAAATCAAATCCTTTATAACATAGATTTGATATAATGCTAAGAAAGGCACTTTTCCCAACCTTTTAATTTGGAATCCATTCACATGACTGCTATGAAGGAGGACCTAGCTTTTAGATTAGGGGAAAATATCAACATAAGAATGAGATTTCTTCCTTTGGCTTATCTGCATTTTCTGAAGCTTACAACAATTTTATTTATTTATTTTTGTGTGTGTGAAAAGGGGATTTAAAATATTTTTAGATTCATCCTAATTCTTTAAAAGCAAGTTACTTGGGGTTAAATTCCAGCTACCTATCTTTTGGATCCCAGCTGAAGAAAACATTCAGGTCTCTGTTGTCTCGCAAGGCTTCCCACGGAATGTCATCTTCCTCTGGCCGCAGATTCATTGACTTTATACTTTCTGCTAAGCTAGTTGATCTGTGATACAGAAAATGCATTTATGCATTATTTCAAGAATAAAACAGCCATGAAAACTTATCAACCCGGACTTGGTTTTGCTAACAAGAGAGGAAGGGAAACGAAGGATTTACTATTAAGAAGGCACAAAAGGTGAAACAGAACCCAGCACTGATCACTGATCTTGCTGCCTGTTACGCAGCAAGAGACAGGCGCAGGGAAGTCAGCCAAGACAAAGGAGATCAGCACCAATCCCTGAAATCCCACGTTTGCAGGGGAAGCAGAGCCTTGCAACCACAATAGGGAGACGGGGTGATGACCATGGCCTAGCTGGCTTCTGGATGGAACCTTAGGTGGTACTCAACCAGGTTCATTTCCCTTTTTTTCCTGATTCCCCCTATGTTCGCTTTTTTTTTTTTTTTTTTAATAGAGGCATGTTTTATTTATTTATTTATTTGTTTGTTTGTTTTGTTTATACATGCACTGGGTACAGTCAGAAGCGCGGGAGGGTGAGAGAATTCACCAGAGCCAGAGCGGGGAGCAGAGCAGGCAGAAGGACCGAAGTACACTGCTGAGGGGAGCAGCGGGCGGCAGCAGAGGTCTGCGCGCCATGTGGGACCCTCCTCTGGTGGCCGGGGAGCAGCCGGGGATCGAACCGGCGCTACAGAGGCCGCGGGCAGCTTCGCAACCCAGCGCTCAACCACTGCGCCACCGGGGAGGCCCTATGTTCGCTTTTTATTCCACTTTTTCTTTTTAACTTAAGCCTGCTATTGTCTCCCATGAGTCCACTAATGACTCTTAGCATCTGATCTAATCCCCCAGTTCCCTTTGAGTGCCTGTGCCATACTTACATATTTGCTTCAAGTAGAAGGTCTAACAACATCCGTTCAGTACGGACTTGTGCAAAATGAAGAGAATTATTCAGCCTGTTCCTAAAAGCGATAAACTCTGGAATCTTCTCAAATGCACCATATTTGTAAGCTTGAATGATATATTCTGAGGTCTGGGAAGGAAAGACATCACCTTGGTATAAATATTTCATGGTCAAGCAATGAAGGCAACCTTGCCAGCCAAAACAAAACAAAACACTCAAACTGAAATTAAAATGTTAAATCTAATCCTTAAAGGTCTTTGTCACCAGGTAGCAAAATTTTTTTTTTTTTAATTTTTCTTCTTTCCTGTACCAGAGTGAAATGTCTTCTTTACTAATATTACTACTAATACCCAGCTGCTGCTACCACCACACGGAATTTCTCTTAGCAGTTATGTCTTTCAATTCAACAAGACTGGAGGTTTAGTTATGACCACATCAGTCAAAAATTTGGTTAGTGCCATTGAGGAAGGGATATTACTCCATGTTTTTCTCCATCTAAGATAAACTGTGTTTTATACAACGGTTCAAGAACACCAGATTAATACAACCACCCCACCAACACCCCAAGTAAAAATTACTCTCCTTCATAAAAGACGGCTATTTCTTGGTTTTATTTATGACGACTGTATCACAAAGGGTATGTGCACACTACATCAGGATAGCAGTAAGACACCAAACAAAAGACCCATAAAAATTCATGTCATGATCCATTCTGAGGACCTTCAAGAACAGGGTTATTTATCCACCCAAACGATATTAAGACCTCTGCTGGGAAATTCCATAAACAAGTAAAGGGAACACTCACATGTGCTTTAATTTTAGACTAATTCATATATACAGATGAAACATTGTGGACAGAGGCAGAATAAAGAATTTGAAACAGCAGTTTTGGCAAAAGGGAAGAAAATCTCAGGGAAGAACCTATCATGGGTGAGGCTAAGCCATAAGGACCAGAAGTCACCAGGGCACCTTTTTGGGCCAAAGAAATGCTAAGCTCAAACCTGTTATCAGCCCCAAAGATCCTTTCTAGAAAAGTCAGTCTCTTTTCCCCCATCTGTTCCAAATAATTTGCCCAATAGGAAAATAGGCCAATAGTCAACAACATACCCTCGATACACAGCCTCGCAGGGTTCATTTCAGGCCGCGGGATTGCGCCACGGGCGCTAATTCAACTGCTTTCGCTGCGGCTTTTAAACCCCCATGGGACACCTCGGCGAGCTGTTTGCCTGCAGTATCTGGAGAGATTAAAGACGGACGGACACAAGAAAATTAAAAAGATTACTTGTGATCCTGCAGGTTTAAAGAAGGACTATCTGAAAAAGCTCAAGTGTACCTTCCCGCTTGACTAAAGGACACTGATAAAGCCCCGTCAAGAAGAGGCCCAAAATACTCTAAACACACATGTCTATCTGATGGCCTCTTGGCTTAGAAAATACAGTAACTTTAACATCAGCCCTTGCAAGAGGAACTGAGGGCTTAAGAAAAACAGCTGGTCAGGAATATGCCCAGCAATTAATCAGGATAAAAAAGTGGTTTGGAGGATTCCAATCAAATTTATAAATTATCGCTCCAAAATATGCTATGAGCAAAGGAAAGAATGAAGCCTTACCAAGTGTACAGGCAGTTCTAATTTCTGAGTGGCCCATGGAATACAACTTCAGAAAAAGGGGGAGAGCTTTCAAAAAAAAAGAAAAGGAATGGGCAAAAAAGAGGGAGGGTAGTCCTTAAACAAAATGAAAAGGTTAAGCGTAGCTTTCTGGCTTCTGTTTTTAAGACAGTCCTCCTTTAATGCTGCAATTAAGTACCACTGCAGAGTGAGGAAAGAGCCTGGGCAGCCATTAGCTGGAGAAAGGCAGAGAAAGTGCCATCATTTGAAGAAACAATCGCCTGTTTGAACCGCAGGCAAAATGGAAGCCACAGGCACTTTAAAGACTTCAGACCATGACAGAATGTTGTCCGTACTATTTCTACCCATTCATACGCGGTGAGGCTATTTAGATCCCATATAGATTCCTGAAATGAACCCTGGTCATTGTAAAAATAAGCAAAACCCCTAAACAATGATCATAAATTCATGAATAGCTGAAAATAGAGACTTTTAAAGGATTTTTTTTTAAAGTATGTAAGTAATCTTTGAAGATATGGAGATCTAGTTCTAATTGTCACATTGTAAAAATCTATTACAAAGTAAGATGACACCAGACAATGACCTTTCCAGAAAGAAAACCCCTGCTTAAAGCTCCCAAAAAACCTCTAATGCCATAGTCCAAAGTCTAGCAGTGCAGAACACTGGATTTTCCACTTAAAAGTATTCTTCCAAACAACAAGCTGACAATTGAAATATATCAGTCACTTAGGAAAAGCCACTGGGTATCCCAAACACTGGGTATACCAAGAATAAAAGATACAGAAAAGATACAGAACACACTGCTTTAGCTTTCCAGAGAAATGTTTCTAATACTCTCAGAAGCTTTAACACATAGAGTACAACACCACAATCTCGATCTTTCTTATCCTTAAACTCCTAGAGGAAACAGTCCATGCCGTGTCCATTTGCCTGTTTTGGGACTCAAGTCAGGCATCAAGGTTTAAGGTGCATTTGCCTTGTGATATTGGTTTTGCCTTTACTCCAGAACCCCCCAAAGATTATCTACTTTAATATGATTAGTAAAACCTCAACTTCTTAGTGAAAATGAAAATAAATTTTAAGCAAAGACTCTTAGACCCAGGTGAATGAAAATGCTACGGTTTTATCAGGTTCAACATCAAGTCACTCCTGCCACACAAGACCATCAGCAAAACAACAAAGAGAAGAGAAGTCCCTCAGGGCAACTTTTCAAATAGCTCCTGGGAATCGCCTTTTCCTACAAAGATACTTTGGGTTGTTTGGCTTTGCAGTTATGTTTTGTTTTCAAAACAATTCTTCAGATAAAATATTTCTGGAAAAAAAAATTAAAGCTTAATTTTTATTAGTATACATAAAATGCCTTTATTGACCAAATTGTGCAGAATGTGGTTCTTCTAGAATGCTGGGGGGGGGGGGGAACCTTGAAAAGGAGTCTTCAGTAAACAAAATATTTCTTTAACCTCTTCCTTAGAAATACAGAAATGAGAGTCAGACTGAGATCTGAGGAGTACTTTCAATTTTTTTTTCAGCGAAACTTCTTAAAACCAGAAAAGAACAAACACAGATACCTGAACACACAGTGCAAACTTTAATTTATAACTCAACTGCCTACTCATGCTAGGTAACCCAAGGCTCTTCTGACCTAAGTCAGGTCAGGGACCTTTGACCTGACCTGCTGCTGCCTACTTCCCTCTCTTCCTGAACAGGTGCTATGGCACAAAATGAAGTCTGAACAGTGACACCAATTATTGGCAAGGAAGAGACAGAGGGAACAAGGCCGCTATACCGCTTACTATCCCTTGCATAACCAGACCTCTAAGTTACACCCTAAAACTTACCAGAACATGATTTTCACAAACTGAGAGCATACCTATATTCCATTGTTCAGAAATACTCCTATTCCTTTCCAGTTTAATACACCCCTAAAGAATCAGATAATGCAGAAGCATAATTGTAAAGGGACTCTTTTTTTTTTTTAAGTTCTCATGAGTGTTCTGCCAAGAACCTCAGAAACGGTTTCCTTGCTATGTTTCTTATGCTATTAAGGCCATGGAAACATGGGAAGCTATGGGCAGGTAACTGGCAGGTCAGATTCCAGGCAATGAGTCTGAGAAGCATGTGAAAATCAAGCAGGCAGTAACCATTCTAAAAACACGCCTTTTCTCCACAAATGCTCCTGGATGGTTCTGCGTAGCTGGTCAACTGACTAGAGACCAAATAGCTTTTCCACAAAAACTTCTGCTTACTGACAAGTGGAAACCAGGTCTGCCTGCAGTGAAAAATATGGTGCAAATCCCATCCTTTCAATATGGCACATAAAGTTCCATTTTACTTATTGCTACTTAAAAAAGTCACAATTGGCCTGAGTTTCTTGAAATGTTCTTCAGCTGGCCAATTTTATAATACTAAGAAAATATAAATGCACTTGCTACTGGCAAAGAAATGGTGGTTATAAACTTCAGAAATATATCAAGGTAACAGCAGCTGCTACCCCACAATATTTTATGGCATCTCAAGTTATAAACAATTATGGTATATTTTATGCCCTTGGAAAAATTCTCTTGGAGATTAACACAGAATTAGAGGCATTACACTTGCTATTCTGTTAGGACCCAGCTTTTAAATGCACCTTAGCATTCTATTAAACATACTCATTTTAACAACCACAAATAACTTTACCTCTACATACAATCTTGGCCAGTAAGCCAGGCCTAAGGGCACTTACAAGCACAGCTTGCTGCACTTCAACTTGTGACACAAGGGAAAGATGCTCTCTGCATCATGTGCATTCAGCAGACAAGACAACAGTTTAAAAAAAACTTTTTTTTTTTTTGCACTTACATCTTTCTGGTTGGAGTGGAAAAACCTGAGTGCGAAGTTACAGGATTGGGATGCAGCAGCATACTGACCTAGGGATTCGGCGTATCGAGTCAAAAGATAACTAGGTAGGAAGGAAAAAAAAACAACAACACATGCTATAATTACCCACCCATGGTATAAAATACTACACTTTAAATTACTATGGTAGAGAAATAGCTAGGCATACAGAAAAATCTAAACATCTTGCCATAAAATGATCTAGACACAGAATCAATTTTTTTTTAAAAAGCAAAGTTAATTCAGTTTTATGAGAAACCTAAACCTAAAGTTGTATCATGCTTTCTTACATTTAGATAATTAATGGAATACCTATGACAAAAACAGAACGCTGTCTTCCTAAACAGCTCCACAACTGATAGACAATACCCTTGACTCATCACAAAGAAAATTCAAAATACAAATATAAAGATCTCTGAGGTGAACAAACAGAAGTACACTGTCAACCTCAAGTGCAAGAAAACGAAGATGTCAAAACAACATGTGCTAAGAAAAAGGATGCAAAGAAATACAGCTATTGGTTGTCTCTGGGGAAAATTGTATCATCTCTAAATTGTGCAGATTTTTAAATTGCCACAAAACACTGAGTGATATAAAACACTTTCTGCTTTGCAAAGGGTCATACTAAGTGATTATTTAATCAAAAAGCTAAATACCAGGAACACCTTCACTGCTGAAATTTAAAAGCTAGAGTTCCATGTGTAAGGGCCCACCCTGGCATGCCTGGGGCTCATCATTCAGAGTACATACTACCAACCCAATAGTATCATGCTGGATATGCTTAGCATCAAGGCTGGAGTACAGATCCACCACTGGTTCAAATGCCCCAAGCATACAGTAGATTCGAACAAGCAGCAATTTGAATTGAGCATTGGATGGGCTGTGTGTCAATCCCTCTTCCAACAAAGTCAGGGCCTGCCAAACAGCAGTCTCGTCACCTAGAACCAAAATATAATACCATTATCCACAGATCTTAAGAGCAAATGGAGGTTTCTCAAAAACAAAAACTGACATCATCACCTCTCCTCACTATTGTAAGAATGAGTTCCGAAGTCAGAGAATAAATTTTTGATAACCAGCTCTGAGCAAAATAGGGACTTTTCCTGAATAGACAAGTTTAACAGTTAACTATGTTCTTAAACATGCATCTGCAAAAATAAGGGAAACATAAACTGCCAAGTCTTAGAAAGGGAAGTTATGGAACCTCACAGAATCCTGAGAAGAGCGTCTGAAGTAGAATTGACGCTCACCAATCCTCCCAACACAGAATTTTCTCTAGAAAACCCCAAATAGATACTCTAACATTATTTTTGTTGAGATATAACTCCACTAATAGTAATTCAAATAAGATATGTGAAAAAAACTTGCTCATTAAAAAGCAAACTAAGGGGGCCTCCCTGGTGGCACAAGGGGTTAAGCATCCCACTATGAAGCAATCCAAAGCCTCTGCAGCACGAGTTCAATCCTCAGCCAGCCAGGGAGCAACCCACATGGCAAAGCAGATCTCTCCTGTCTTGCCCGCTATATTTCAGTTAGTCTGCCTGTTCTGTTCCCCACTCTGTCTCTGGTGAATCCTCTCACCCCCCACATTTCTGTCCTATGCCCAGCTCTTGTATGCATAAATAAATAAAATAAACCTTAAAAAAAAAAAAAAAAAAAGCGGGGCCTCCCTGGTGGCGCAGCGGTTGAGCGCTGGGTTGCGAGGCTGCCCGCAGCCTCTGCAGTGCCGGTTCGATCCCCGGCTGCTCCCCGGCCACCGGAGGAGGGTCCCACATGGCGCACAGACCTCTCCTGCCGCCCGCTGCTCCCCTCAGCGGTGTGTTTCGTCAGTCTGCCTGCTCTGTTCCCTGCTCTGGCTCTGGTGAGTTCTCTCGCCCTCCCGTGCTTCTGACTGTACCCAGAGCTTATATAAATAAATAAATAAACAAACAAACAAACAAACAAATCTTTAAAAAAAAAAAAGCAAACTAAAACAATATACCCTTTTTTCAGCCTAATATAATTTTAAAAGTTACATACATCAATAGTTTATTTTTTAAATCCCAAGATTTATTTTATTTATTTATGCATACAAGAACTGGGGTATAGGCCAGAGGTATGAGGGGTGAGAGGATTCACCAGAGATAGAGAGGAGAGCAGAAAAGGTGGATCTACTGAAATACACTGTTGAGGGGATCAGTAGGCAAGACAGGAGAGGTCTGCTGCACCATGTAGGTCAGCTCCCTGGCCGAGGATCAAATTCATGCTGCAGTGGCTACAAATAATTTGATAGTGCTGAGAATTAATATCTTGTGCCACCAGGGAGGCCCTCAATATAACTTTTCTTTTATTAATCTAGTGAAAATAATAGGAAATGCAGATAAAGTTTTATATAAAAATAGCCACTATACTAATAATGTAGGATAATTAAGTAGATATTGTAAAACCCACATAGGAAAACATCATACAGCCATTTGACATTAATGGAGAGTTTTTAAAAACAAGAGAAAATACTTATGCAATAATGTTCAATAAAACAGCGAATTCAAATTAGCACAAAGAGTTAATCTCAAGATATATACAGAGAAAATGGAAAATATAGATAAAAATGCTAAAAGTGCCTTTTGGAAGTCAGAAATGTGAGATTTAAATTAAACTGTTTTATAGAACTTTTATATGCTACTTTTACAGTCAGAAAAAAAAAAACAGCTAAAAGTCCAATGCACTCAGTTTTTAAAATTATATTCCATGCAAAAACCGTATTTGAAGGGATAGCTGCACTCTTATGTTCACTACGGCGCTACCTACAATAGCCAAGTACAGAAACAACCTAAATGCCATTGACACATGAGTGGATTAAGATGTGGGATATATACACAATGGAATACTACACAGGTACTTTAAAAAAAAGACGAGGGCCTCCCCAGTGGTGCAGCGGGTTGAGCGCCACGCTGTGAAGCTGTCTGCAGTCTTTGTAGCGCGGTTCAATTCCCAGCCAGCCAGGGAGAAACCCACATGGCGCAACAGACTTCTCCTGCCTTGCCCACTGCTCCCCTCATCAGTGTCTTTGGTTCGTCTGCCTGTTCTGCTCCCCACTCTGTCTCTGGTGAATTCTCTCACCCTCCTGTGCCTCTGAGCTGTACCCCTATACCCCCGTTCTTATATAAATACATAAATCTTTAAAAAAAAAAAAAGATCAAATTTTGCCATTTACAACATGGGTGGAAATAGAGGAGATTATATTAAGTGAAATACTGGATAGTTTCACTCATACATGAAACATAAAGAAAAAAAAAATAAAGAAACAGAAAAAAAGAAACCAAAATAAACCCTAGAAATCTGACTGTAGAACTGAGGCTACCAGAGGGAAAGGATGAAGGACAGGAAGCAAAGGGGACAGGGAGTCCAATGGACTAGGGTGGGAAGCCTGTGGGTGCTCTGGTTGTCAGTGTAATGTGATAATGCCCATCTGTGGTAACACATCTGAAGAGGTGTGAACCTGCACCTATAACTCATGTACTCATGTCCAGAGTTGTAAACCAATGTTACCTCAATAAAAAATGTAATCTGAAAAACAGAAAATAAAGAGCATATTCTGCATGCTTTCTAACCTAAAAAACAAGATAAAACCAAAAAGTGGGGCTGCAGAAAAATATCCATAATCAATCCAATGAAAAACTTACAATAATACTTATCATGAAGAACTAGAAAACTAAAATCCAGTACAAGGAAGGAAATAATAAAAACTAAAGCAGGAATAAATGAAATAAAAATCAAAAAGACAGTTCAAAAAACTAATGAAATCAAAACCTGGTTCTTTGAAAAAGTAAAACGGACAAATCTCTAGATAAATTCACCAAGAAAAAAGGAGAAAACTCAAGGAAGCAGAAACAAAAAAGAAGTTACAAAAGACATCTCAAATTCAGAGTATCATAAAGATTACTATTATTCATTTACTATTATTCATTTTAGTAAAATGAATAATTTAGAAAAGATGGACAAATTCTTAGAAATATACAACCATCTAAGGCTGAATTAGTAAGAAATAGAAAACCTAAAAGAACAATGGCAAGCAAGGAAATTGTAACAGTAATCAAGTCTCCCAAAAAATAAAAGTCCAGGACCAGAAATTTCACTCAAGAGTTCTACCACGCCTTCAAAGGCAAACTAGTATCTATTCTCAAATGAGAAAGAGGAGGTAATACATTCAAACACCTTTTAGGAGGTCAACATTAAAAACCAGAAAAAGGACCTCCCTGGTGGCACAGCAGTTGAGCGCTGGGCTGCGAAGCTGCCCACAGCCTCTGCAGTGCCGGTTCAATCCCCGGCCACTGGTGAGGGTCCCACATGGCGCGTAGACCTCTCCTGCTGTGCCCGCTGCTCCCCTCAGCAGTGTACTTCGTCAGTCTGCCTGTTGTGTTCCCCTCTCTGTCTCTGGTAAATCCTCTCACCCTTCCACACATCTGGACTGTACCCTGGCTCTTGTATAAATAGATAAAATTAATTAATTAATTAATTAAACTGTCCTAAACAGAGTGACGTTTATGTTCAGGATAACAGGGCACTTCTGAATGATGATAAACATGAGGTTGATAAACACGAGGTTGATATGAAAATGAATGCTCTGTGAAATGATCCATGAGGGCAGGGGTTGTGTCTCTCATGCAATAGTCTCCCCTGTCCTTTGTTTCTCCTGTAATTTAGCCTCCTGAGTAATACACAAGTTATTTTTCCCCAAAAACTGCTAATAAGAAAATTTCAGGTGAAACCTGAAGAAAAGGCAATCTCAATACCACTTACTAAATCATCCTTTTCCTGCTCAATGATTCACAGTGATTCCTTTACTACATTTCATGTTTTTGTCATGGTGAGTTAATCAGAACTGTATTCCAAAGAGCATATTTTCCTGTATAACATTTTTAAGTGAATACAAGGAACTATCTTGTTTAATGAACCTATATATCTATTTCAGAATCATTTTCTCTGCATTTTAATTATGTTGTAATAGGTTATTTACAGTCATTACCCACATAGATCAGATATATACTGATTTAAGATTATCATCATTACAAGGGGGATAACTGGAGACTTTTCCAGAAGCATCCTGGGGAAAGAAAAACTTAATGCATAAATCGAATTCTTAAATTATATAATTTGAATTTATATCAATAATTAGTAAAAGCAAAGGTAAAGTTCAACTGAAATCACTGCTCCTTACCTGTTTCTCTCCATATATCAATAAGCACATGGACAGCAAGAAGACAGTAATAGTCTGAAAACTGCAATTCCGTTTTCAAACAGGACTTCCCTATGGGGAAAAAAAAGTCTCTATTTTAACAATTATTCAAAGGAGCTTTTTAAAGGAGGAAAAATGACAGAAGGGAAATGAGGGAAAGAAAATAATGGGAGTAAATACCAGAAGAAAAAACATAAGCCATGAAGAAAAAACAAGCCAAGAACAGAGGTCCCCAAAAGAGGGCAGGAAGATTTGGTAGGCTACAGGCAAAGAAAAAACTGAAGACAAGGGCCTTACATTAACTGAAGAAATAATATTATGCTCTTTATTTCACCTGATTTTTTTAGAATACAGTTAGAGAAATACTGACAAAATTTAGTTAGATAATTTATATTTTAGCACATGTATGTATCTAGCAACCCGAAGATATCTACTTAAAAATTAAATATTTCTCTCACAGTTTATAATATTTCTTTAGTTCATTTACAAAGTCTGTATTTTAAAAGTAATGTGACAAAAAAAAAAAAAAAGTAATGTGACAGCTACCATAAACTAAGTAATTCGTGAGCCCCAGTGTGATAAAGGGTTCGCTCACCAGATTAGGAAGGACACAGACAACTGGAAGACAACTGTAATTTTTTCACCGCCAAGCTTAAGAAAGGCTGTCCATTTCATCACTTGGATAGTCTTCCCATTTGACAAAGTATTTTCCTTGTCAAATTCATGAAAACAAGATACAGTAATAAAAACCTATGGATACTCACCAAATTCCAGCCCATGTTGGTACCTTAACATCAATTCTCTGACCACGGTCAATTTCTGATTTTTATCCATCATGTGGTACAAGCCCAGTAACCTCGTCAGCTGCACCACACACAAATGCTGCTGCAGAGCTCTGATGTCAGCAGGCAATGCCAGCTTATCCTCTGTTGGTGTCGACAAAGGAACAACTCCAAGTAACTGGTTAATAAACTGCAGGGTGAAAAAAGAGGAGCATAATTCTCAAAACAAAGCTAGTCTTTAGTAGGTGGGCCATAACTACCAAATACTGAAGTGGTCTAGCCAAAGACATCAAGAAAAAGTACAAATTAAAACCCCTCTAGTATCCCATTTTCTATCTACCAAAATCATTAAAACAAAATAATCCCTAACAGCACCCAAACCTGGTGAGACTAGCACACTCATTCATTGTTGGTCAAAAGCATTTCATCAATATCATGTGCTATACTCACTAAAAGGATTTTTTTCATTGTAAAATGTGCCTTGTAAATCCTATTAACATAATGTATAATGTAACAATGAAAAAGTTAATTAGGAAGACTGTAGAAAAGAACAGTCTACTAAAAAAACAAAACACCCTACAATTAGACTGATATACTAATAAAATCCATGAGTTCTTAAAAGAAATGTACATGGAAAGGGCTGATTATGTTGTGTCAGTGGCCTTAAACTGCTTTTCACTAAAGTTTTCATTTGTAAATTAACATGCAGTTCTAAGAAATAATACAGAGAGGTCCCACTCACACTCCACCCAGTTGCTCCCACGAGTAACATCTTGCTTTAAAATATTTTTTATCCTTTAAATTTGGTAAGAATTTTTAAAAACACCAGTTCCAATTACACATTTGTAGGCTTTCACTCCAAAATGCTATGAAGATGACAATAAAGAACAAAAAAGGGGTCAATCCACAAGAATCAGGAACATGTGAAGAGATGACAGCAAACAAAAAACATCAACAAGATTCCAGAAGCTAAAAGGCAGGGCAGTGGTAAGCAACAACCAATGCACAGACCAAGAAAGCTGAAGTACAGCAGCATGAAGTGGGGAGGACACCAATAAAGCAATACACCCATCGCAGTCCCAGAACCTTAGAAGACTTAGAAATTAAAGGCAACAGGTATCTCTGAAAGTTAAAGACTGGGAGAAAATACATGAAACCACTTATCTGACAAAGAACTTGAATCTAGAATAATTATCAAAACTCAACAATAAAAAGCAAAAACAAGTCAACTAGAGCAAAAGACAGACATTTCACTGAGAATATACAGATGGCAAATGAGACAGGAAAAGACCATGAAACTTAGAGAAATACACACTAAAACCATAAAGAAAGATCACTACACAGCTATCAGAATGGGTACAATTAAAAAAAAGCAGATAGTGACAACACTAAAGGCGGAGAACTGGGTGAGTGGCACACTGCTAACAGAATTTAATATGGTTCAAACAATAATGGATTTGGCAATGATGGTAGGAATTTTGGAGGTAGAAACTACAATGATTTTTGGCAATTACAACAATCAATCTTCCTCCATGAAAGAAAGAAACTTTGAAGGTGGAGCTCTGGCCCCCATGGTGGTGCCAATACTTGCCAAACCACAAAACCAAGGTAGCTATGGAGGCTCCAGCAGCAGAAGCAGCTGTGGCAGTGGCAGAAGGTTTTAACTAACTGCCAGGAAACAAAGTTTAGTGTGAGAGGAGAGCCAGAAGTGATGGAGGAGCTACAAGTTACAAAAGATTTGGAACTCAGCCAAGCACAGAGGTGGCAGGGCCCTGCCCTTCCCCAGAAGACCTGTCTCAGACAAGTCGAGTGTATGGGCACAAAACTAGAGGACTGCATTGGTGACTAACTGTGTAACAGGTTATTCTAGGTTCTGTTCTGTGAAAAGAGTAAAGCATTCTAACAAAGGGTTTTAATATAATTTTGTTTTGCACCCATGAAGTTGATTGCTAAATCTAATAGTCTGATCCTGACATTGAATAAATATGCCTTTTAAAAATAAAAATATGCCTTTTAAAATGGTGCAGCCTCTATGCAAGAATGTGGCCTTTTCTTTAAGACACTAAAGGTGCAAGGGGAGTGGACCCAATGCTTAGGGTAAAGGAATAAGGGTACTTTGATGGTTGGGGTGGTACGGTAACATACATCTGATGAGGTACAAACCTATTCCCTAAATCATATACACTATTGTAAACCAATGTTACCTCAATAAAGAAAAAAAAAACCTGGGCCTCCCTGGTGGCGCAAGGAGTTAAGCACCACACTATGAAGCAATCCGCAGCCTCTGCAGCATAAGTTCGATCCCCTGCCGCCAAGGAGCAACCCACATGGCGCAACAGACCTCTCCCGACACGCCCGCTGCTCCCTTCAGCAGTGTATTTCAGTCAGTCTGACTGTTCTGTTCCCCACTCTGTCTCTGGTGAATCCTCTCACCCCCTGCATCCCTGGCCTATACCCCAGCTTTGTATGCAAAAATTTAAAAAAATAATTAAAAAAACACCTAAACATGCATCAGCAACTGCACTAATGGACATTTTTCTCAGAGAAATGAACACTTTTGTTCACACACAAATAACAACAACAAAAAATTACACAAATGCTCACAGCAGTTCTATTTGAAACAGTCAAAAAGGGAAGACACCTGGATGTCCTTCCCCAGGCTGAAGAAACAGTGGTACATCCTGACCACAGAACATTATTCAGCAATAAAAAAGGAATGAACTACTGATACACATAAAACTCTAAGCATCAATTATGCCCAATGACAAAAACAAATCTCAAAAGGTAACACGATTCCATTATATAACATTCTTAAAATGACAAAATTATAGAAATAGGAAACATTATTAGTTGCGAGGAAATACGGCTTTGGAAAGAGGGAGCGCAGGGAGGTAGCTGTGGGTTAAAAAGAATAGCACGTGGAATCCCGGTGTTTTATCTTGACATGGTGGTCGTATCTACAGGCATTATATACTGAGTAAATACACACACAACACACCTATATGCACAAAATAAATGCACGTAAAACTGTTGAAATCTGAATAAAGTCAGTGGATTATATCAATGTCAATTACCTAATTATACTGTAGTTATATAAGATGTTACCATTGGGACAAAAGGTATGAAGGATATAAGAATCTATTATTTCTCTTGCAAATGCATGTAAACCTCTAAGTAGCTGAACAAAAGAAGAGAAGAGAAGCCAATTATATAGCAGGGGCTTATTCTCACTCTGGCTGAACATGAAATCATGCCTTTGATCAGAGAGCACCCAGAGCACTCGTGTGATCGAGCAGTACTTGATAGCCAGTGCTCAGCCCCCTCACACCTTTTAGAAAGGTAACCCAAACACTTAACCTAGTAACAATAAACACAGATACCAACAGACTTCTAACTGTACTTACTTTTGTACACTGTGTAGCAGGCAAGAGGTCAACAAATACCTTGAGATCTGTAAAACAGCAAGGCTTATCCCCAAACTTTTTAAAATACTGGAACATTAATTCTTCTGGATCACCTTAAAAGAGAAAACAAAATTCACTAAATTATTCATGGGAAGAAGCAATTTTTAATTTAAGGAAAAAGTCTGATGTGAAAAACATTTACTTCAAATACATTAAAATTTTCCTTCAATGTCTGCATGAAAATGACAAACAGGGCCTCCCCTAGTGGCACAGCGGTTGAGCGCTGGGCTGCAAGCCTGCCCGCAGCCTCTGCAGCGCCGGTTCGTTCCCTGGCCGCCAGTAAGGGTCCCACACAAAAAAAAAAAAATAAAATAGAATAGTTACCTCACTTCTTCCAAAAAAAAAAAAAAAAAAGACAAACAGGGCTGGAAAATGACTTGCTTATTTAAAAATAAACAAATATTTTAAAAAGGAGCTGAATTTTACAAATTCAGCTTACCAGTTATTACTTAGGAACTGTGAAGCTATTCATTCAATTAAAGTTTAAGTAGTTAAAAAGCTTTCATTAATGTTTAAATAAAGAAGTAAGGTTATATGCAAATATTAAGCAAACATGCTTCTCTCCACAACAGCTGACCACTTCATAAATATTAAACTTTAACTAAATGAAATGTAATGTCTGTTAGCAGGTACACCAACAGAGGAGAACGGGAAGAGCCTCAGGCCAAGAACTTCAACAAGGACACTCACTGTGGAAAAGTTAAACCTGGATATGCAGAACGTTACCAGTTCATTTTTTTTTCCTCAAGTTAAAAACAACAAAATAATAATTAAAAAAGCTCTCAAATTGAACTAGATTTAAGAAGGACAGTCTGTAAGACTGAAGGTCTCAGCTCCTGCTCATGTTTCTGATAATAGAGGTCTATGGCTTTAAATAGATTCTGCAAGGACTTGGTGATTCAAGAGTTAACACTCACTGACCTAACTTACAAAAGGAAAGAAAATTTGTAGAGACTAGACAAATTCACAAATTTCTAAGATTCGAGCTAGTGAGAAGGAAAAAAAGATAAGAATAGATATACCAAATGTCAAAGTAGATCCAAATACTTTTATATCCAGCTTTACAAAGAAAGCAATATTTAAGACTATTTTAACATTTTCCTGAAGGTCACATGAAAATGCTCACATGTGAATCTGGTACTAACACTGAGGTTACTGAGGCAGACCCAAAGAAAGAAATCAACATGGCATTCAAAATTGATTACAAATAAACTACAAAGAGGATGATAAAGTTCATTTTCAAATGAGTTTGAAAGAACATTAAGTAAATGATTAAAATGATCAGAGATATTCTAGGACAGGTTTTAGGTATATCATATAGCGGGAAAACTGGTCCCTAAAAAAATTCTCTTAATCAACTTTCAGTGAGAAACAAACTTCCATAATGATGGGGGTGAGAGATTTCTTTAGCACTTTTTATCTTAAAACAATGAAGCTGAGAAATTAAGGAAGTTTATTATGTTAAAGTTAACAAAATGTAGAGTAAAATTAAAAATACAAGCTAATGCTTAGTTTGTGCAAAGAATTGCTGCTCTGAAGGGTGAGGGGCCATTTTTCCATAAAAGTGTGAACTGGCACAAGAAGACACTCTTCATTTCTTGGGTAGTAAATGCTAAAAAACTAATTTCAAAAGCATCTGAGTTTCATCAAATTTCTTATAGGCCTCAGTACTTTGCTATTCAAATCATTCTTTTCTCTCATCATTATTTGTAATTTTCTCTTCAGTTACTAATTGCTTTGATTCTGCCAGATATCCTTTTCATAAATGTTAAAAAAAATCCTGAAACTTTTGCAAAACTAGTTGTTTTTAGCATTATTGTCAAGTCAGCAAGAGAATGCCTAACAAAGACCTTGATAGATAGGCAGAGATGCTGAAGTTAAACCAGGCTGAACATGTGACTGAAGGTTACTTTTATATGATCCATTTATTAGTAAATATTTTTAGGTTATGAAGACATTTGCTTCCAAACATGACTTTGTCATTGTAGGCCTCAGATGAAGAATACTATGCTTGGGTATGGAAGGCATTCCTGTTCCTTGATCAGTATTCCCAGATATAATTATAGCTTCTTACCCAGTTTGTATTCATCATTAAAACCTTGACAGCGTAAACGCCTAATCAGCTCCAGTTTAGCTAGATGTGGTCCTCGGAGATGGCGAGAACTTTTAGATTCTTCCGTTATTCGATCTTCTATAAACTTCACAGCTTCTTCTGCAGAATAATGCACTTCTCCTTCCAAAGAGCTGGATATAAACACATATGTTATGTTTCAATTATCCATTCAAAATCAGAGTCAAGTCAAACTGATTTCAAAAAACTAAAACCAGGTGCCTCCCTGGTGGAACAAAGGGTTAAGTCTCAGCACTATGAAGCTATCCAAAGCCACTGCAGCATGAGTTCGATCCCCGGCCAGGGAGCTGACCCACATGATGTAGCAGGTCTCTCCTATCTCACCTGCTGCTCCCTTTAGCAGTGTATTTCAGTAGATCCACCTGCTCTGCTCCCCACTCTGTCTCTGGTGAATCCTCTCACCCCCAACCCCTGCACCTCTGGCCTGCACCTCAGCTCTTGTATGCATATATAAATAAATTTTAAAAAACAAACTGAAACTGAAGAAAAAACACTTCAATAATTATAAAATATAAATGGGACTAAAACGGAGCTACAAATAAATTCTGACAGATAACATGACATGATTACTCCCAATTTTGTTATTTGATTATTACAGAGCAATGAACTCTTTCTTTAAAAAGTAATGAATAATCCTGTATATATAAAATGTTGCATAATAATACAAGCAGACTTTATTGCTTGTATTAAATTTAATGATCTAAGTATTATAAAGTAACCACCAGTTCATAATTGGTAACCTAAACCCTATTTTTGTATTCACTTTTTATTTTTTTTATTTTTTAAAGATTTATTTATTTATTTATTTATACGAGCACTGGGTACAGTCAGAAGCACAGGAGGGTGAGAGAATTCACCAGAGCCAGAACAGGGAGCGGAACAGGCAGACTGATAAAGTACACTGCTGAGGGGAGCAGTGGACGCGGCAGGAGAGGTCTGCACGCCATGTGGGACCCTCGCCCGGTGGCCGGGGATTGAACCGGCGCTGCAGAGGCTGTGGGCAGCTTCGTAGCCCAGCGCTCAACTGCTGCGCCACCGGGGAGGCCATGTGTATTCACTTTTTTTTTTTTTTTAATCTTTTTATTTTTTTTTTTTTATAGAGGCATGTTTTATTTATTTATTTTGTTTGTTTGTTTGTTTTGTTTATACATGCACTGGGTACAGTCAGAAGCGCGGGAGGGTGAGAGAATTCACCACAGCCAGAGCGGGGAGCAGAGCAGGCAGAAGGACCGAAGTACACTGCTGAGGGGAGCAGCGGGCGGCAGGAGAGGTCTGCGCGCCATGTGGGATCCTCCGCCGGTGGCCGGGGAGCAGCCGGGGATCGAACCGGCGCCGCAGAGGCCGCGGGCAGCTTCGCAACCCAGCGCTCAACCACTGCGCCACCGGGGAGGCCCTGTGTATTCACTTTTTAAAAAGATTTCAGAAAGGAAAAAAACTCTGTTTATGTTTGTTACAGTATGTGTGTGACAGCCAGTATAAGAAAAGGAAATCAATGCAAGGGTCCATTAAACAGGTGCCAGGTTAAATGAATGACAGTACATTTCTAAAATGGAGTGCTTAAGTCACTCAAAAGAATGTAATAGATCTATATATACTATATATGAAAAGACACCCAAGAATCTTTTTTAAAACTTCTAATTCTCTGGATTTTTTTTATTGCTTTTTTTTTTTTGAGGTACACTGCTTTCCAACACTGTATATGATTCAGGGGTATCAGTTCCTAACTCTTAAATGTATGTTACCATCATCCTACCACCAAGGAACCCATAGTGCTACCCACCACAGCCCACTGGACTCCTCCTCCCCAAATACTAAGTTGCAAATCATGTTTATGTTAAACTTTTGCATTAAATAATAGGAGTGATTATGTTAGACATCCGCAAAAATAAATCCGAAAGGGAAGACAACACAATGTATGAAGAGTTATTCGTGGGTCAATTTTATCTCAATTTCTTGAAAAAGAAAAAACAAGTTATTTCTGGGATGAGAACAAGGGGCTAATGCTATCTACACCATTCATTTCTGCACTATTTTAAATTTTTACAATGGACATGTTTATATTTTATATTTCTTAAATGAAAAAATCTTGCTTTGAAAGGATACACTACTGAAATAGAAAAAGAGATTTCAATTAGGTTTTCAATGAAATCCTTGCGCTGTGACATATCAACAGGTGCCAATATAATGTAGAAAAGATGACTTACTGTTCACCTTCAGCAGGAGGAGTCCACGCCTCTTCAATAAGTCGAAAGACAGAATCGAAATAAGTCAGATAGAACTGCCAGTCATCTGAGCTAAAATCAGATTGAATGGTACACACAAGATTATACTCAAGTTGTGACAAATCTTCCTTAGGACCCGTTAATATTCAACTTATTTTCTATATTTTAGTTATATTTTAGTCTTCCCTCAGCCCTCCCTCAGCACTTCCTCTGCAGTCCTAAAAGGACAGCATTTCAGAGGCATTTTCAAAGGAAAAAACTTTTAAGAGGCTATAGTCTTTCCTTCAATAAAATAACCAGGTCTAGAAAACTAATACTCTTAACAGAAAACTCCCCCGCATTACTATGTCCTAAAAAGGAATGGGGAGACGCTCCTTTAAACCAATACAGAATTTGGCGAACTAGTAAGACCTAATACTAGATGGCACCCTGATGGCGTAAGTAACATAATTCTAGAACTCTTCACTGAAAGATAAAGGTTCATCAAAACTTTAAAAAATAGAGCCTCTTTGGTGGCGCAGGGGTTAAAGACACAGCGCTATCAAGCTATCTCTAGCCACTGCAGGACAAGTTTGATCCCTGGCCAGGGAGCTGACCCACATGGCGCAGCAGGCCTCTCCTTTCTCACCTGCTACTCCCTCAGCAGTGTATTTCAGTAGATTTGCCTGTTCTGCTCCCCACTCTGTCTCTGATGACTCTTCTCATCTCCCTCCTCTGCTCCTCTGGCCTACACCCCAGCTCTTGTATACATAAATAAATCTTTACCCTCCCAAAAAGAGATCTGACACTATACACAGAAATTTCAAAAGACATATACAAAAAATAAAATCAACAGTGAGCCCTGAGCGCCCCACTCATGTTTCAGTCCAAAAGAAACCTCTACTCACTTTTTCAGTAAGAGGCGCCGGGAAAGAGCATTGCACTCTGGCCACCTGCTCAGCTTCTTATACATGGCCATGCACTTATTTTCCCGACTTTGAATCTCACTGGTCAACTTTTCTACAATTAAAAGTTTTAGAAATTGGTAAGCTGATTTCATTTTTGTTCAGAAAGCAGAATATAACGTCCAAACACAAGAAGGAAAATGTCAGCAGCTCTGTGTCCACCTGTCTCTATGCAGGCACCTCTTTTCCCTTTCTCTTCTTCATGATAAACCTAAGATGCAGATTTTGCCTCCAGCCTGTATCTATGCATTTGTCTCTTTCTTAATAAACCTGACCCTTTCAAAATGCAGCTATATGTCTGTGTCTATGCAGGTATCATTTCAAATCTTTTTCCTAAAAAAAATTTTTAAAGTGGGAAAAAGGGACCTCCCTGGTGGCGCAAGAGGTTAAGCACCACCCTATGAAGCAGTCTGCAGCCTCTGCGGCACAAGTTTGATCCCCAGCTGGCCAGGAGCAACCCACATGGCGCAGCAGACCTCTCCTGTCTCACCCACTGCTCCCCTCAGCAGTGTATTTCAACAGTCTGCCTGTTCTGTTCCCCACTCTGTCTCTGGTGAATCCTCACCTCCACCCCGCATCTCTGGCCTGTACCCCAGCTCTTGTATGCATAAATAAATAAATGTTTAAAAAATAAAATAAAGTAGGGCCTCCCCGGTGGCGCAGCGGTTGAGCGCTGGGTTGCGAAGCTGCCCGCAGCCTCTGCGACGCCGGTTCGATCCCCGGCTGCTCCCCGGCCACTGGAGGAGGGTCCCACATGGCGCGCAGACCTCTCCTGCCACCCGCTGCTCCCCTCAGCAGTGTACTTCGGTCCTTCTGCCTGCTCTGCTCCCCACTCTGGCTCTGGTGAATTCTCTCACCCTCCCGTGCTTCTGACCGTACCCAGTGCATGTATAAACAAAACAAACAAGCAAACAAATAAATAAATAAAAAAAATGCCTCTAGAAAAATTAAAAAATAAAATAAAGTGGGAAAAAAAGGAAAAGGTCACATTTTCTAATTTACTCTTAGAAAAAGGGCCATTATTATATAAAAAAACTACTTTCTTACTAAAAATGATTTTGATAGAGGGAAAAAAGTATATTCCAGATACTAGACTTTCATAATGATTTTTTCCCCATAAAAGACATGGCTGCATAATGTACTGAGTTGAGGATCTAGTACATGGATACACTTATAAAACCCAAAAAAATGTAGGGACTAGCACATTTAGTTCACAGACAGACTTTCCATTCATACAAATCCAAAACATCAAATAAACCTGGACTGAAATGGGATGAGTAAGGTGAGATGTTAGAAGGAAAATAAAAATTTTAAAATAAAAATAATCAAATTTTGTTCCAACAACTAGTTTTGTTCCCAAAAACTAGGTCTATATTTCTGGCTAAATTAGATATGCTCTGTCATTCAGAAAAGCTCAGCAGACCAAGGATACTAAGAATTCCACTATGAACTTACTATAGAAATCTAAATTTTAACTATCAATCCACATAAACTACAACCTTGCCGAATAAAAATTAAAAAGGCTGACTTGTATCAATGTGCAAGGAGGCTGAAGTTAGAAAGCAACACTAAAAAAAAAAAAAAAAACCTTCTACATTTTTTTTCCTGAAAACTTTATTTGGTTTTTTTCTTCTATCATTGCCATTTTACTTTTTATATAATTAATTAGTTTTATCACTGCACAGTCCAGTAAAGGATATAAGTACATATATGAAACAAAGTCTTTTTCATGACTGTTCCTACTAATCTACAGTTTAATCATTCCCAACTATAAAGGCACAATCAAAAAAACAGGTTTACTAAAGAAACCATAACTACAGTTACAGGAATTTCCTCTAAGGAAATCATCAGAGATGTTTATAAATACTTAGGAACAAAAATCTCTCATAAATCTCAAAAAACCAGAGAAATGGTCAAGACTATTTATGAAGTTCCCACAAATCAGTTTTCCAACAAAAAGGGAAGAAGTATTTTCACAACAGTGGAAAAGGGCTAACTTCTTGAACAGGTAAAGGGCTCTGTGAATCAATAAGATAATTAACCAAGTATTCTGAAATAGAAAAGGGATAAGCAGTTCAGAAAAAAAAAAAATATTTATAGCTTTTAAACAAATGAAAAAAAGAATTATATTCCCTCATACTTATATTTAAAAAAAAAGCAGCTTCTGCTTAGGAAATCAGACTGCCTTATTGTAAGATTTTTTTATTATCATATTGAGAAATATAAAAAGCTTGAAATAACATTTTAACAATAAAATGTGCCACGAAACATGCCTTCTCACATACTGATAGTAAATATACATAGCTTCTTGGAGGGTAATTTGGTTTGCAGCAAAGATATTTCTTGCAAAGAGCCTAAATATCCATCAAGGACTAAGTAAACTGTCTACATTTATACTGAAAAAGACTAAGCACATAAGAGTGTCAGGAGGAGGGACACAGCTCTCAGAAACACTGCTAAGAAACCAAAAATATCAGTATAAGTATAGGCAGAGCAAAGTTTACAAACTCAATGTCTTTAGCACAGGCAAGTAGACAAAGAATACTTGTATCTAGAGTACAAATCCAGACTAGGGAGAGGCATTAATATTGAAAAATCGTAAAAGAAAAAGTTATTTTAAAAGAAACATTGTGTAACTGAAAAAGATAACTCTCTATGGACCAAGAACAGAATGTTCTTGTTTGGTTAAAAATAAGAAAGAGGGGAAGGGGTATTGGTAGCGGGATATACAGGAAAACCTATAGGACTGAAGATCTAGGGTATAATCTTTCACATTCCTTGAACTTACTGAATTCATGAATTATTTTCAATTAAAATTTATTTTAAAATATAAATGTACAAAATACAGAAAAGTCTAGAACATAAAATAATCACAAGTGATATTTCTGTTTTTTCATCTTTGTGTTTCTGTATGAGTAAGAAATTTTCCACCATATTTTTGTTTAAAAAGGGAAGAAAAACCAACAAAACTTGTAAAATTACCTCCCAATTTTCCTCTTATGACATCCAAGGCTTCCTGGTACTTTCCCAACCGTTCCAGGATCATATAATAAAGCTCAACCTTAAAGAAAAATAAAGAAGTGCAACCACTGAAACTCTAGAGTAATAAAGACATTCATGTGCTTTTCAAAAGAACACTGAGAGTAAATCAACAGTAAAAGTCAGACAGCAGTATCTCCCCAACCTACACACAGCTCAGCCTGGAGTACTGAGCTGCAAACAGCCCAGCGTTCATTATACATCAGCTAGCGGCTTCCAAAATTTCATGTTTTTGCAAAAATTTCATGTTTATCAGCTCTTTAACTGGAAAAGGCAACAGTTTATAATACTTTAGCAACAAAACAACGCAAATGCAAATACAAAAGTAGGACATTAAAATTACTCACTTCAGCCTCAGCTTCTATCTTGTCCTCTTTCACCATTTTTTCTACCATTCTCTCAGCAAGGGGCAGAAACATAGTTTTTGAGAGGTTTTCATCCTGTGCTGATATAGACTAGAAGAGAAAATTTAATGTTGCCTTCTAATTTCTCCGTATTTGCACAATGTTACGCTATTATCATGCAGACCATTATTAACTCCAGCACATTAATCATCAATCCACTTTGTTAAATATCAGACCTAATTTGAACTTGTTAAGAAGAGACATTAGAGCGGTTTGCCTTATAAGAGAGTCCTAAAAATTCATTATCTTTTGTATTCTTAAAATAATGAATGTCGGGCCTCCCTGTAAGCGCAAGGGGTTAAGCACCGCACTATGAAGGAATCCGAAGCCTCTGCAGCACAAGTTTGATCCCCGGTCGGCCAGGGAGCAATCCACATGGTACAGCAGACCTCTCCTGTCTCCCCGCTGCTTCCCTCAGCAGTGGATTTCAGTAGGTCCGCCTGTTCTGCTCCCCACTCTGTCTCTGGTGAACCCTCTCACCCCCCACATCTCTGGCCTGTACCCCAGCTCTTGTGTGCATAAGTAAATAAATAAATCTTAAAAAAAAAAAAAAATACTGGGGCCTCCCCGGTGGTGCAGTGGTTGAGCACTGGGCTGCAAAGCTGCCCGCAGCCTCTGCAGCATGGGTTCGTTCCCCAGCCGCCGGCAAGGGTCCCACATGGCACGACAGACCTTTCCTGCCACGCCCACTGCTCCCCTCAGCAGTGTCTTTCGTCAATCTGCCTGTTCTGTTCCCCGCTCTGGCTCTGGTGAATTCTCTCGCCCTCCCGTGCTTCTGACTATACCCAGTGCTTGTATAAATGAATAAATAAATCTTAAAAAAAAAAAAAATACTGAATGTCTACAATATGACCTGAATTTTAAATGCCTTTTTCTAAAAATATATTAAGAAAGGGAATGCACATAGTTTGTTATATATATTGGGAACATATCATCAGGTATTTGAAAAGTATTGCATGTCTTTTTCAGATTTCAAGTACTAGAAGGGAAATGTCAATTCCTTCTATTTATACAGCTACAGTGCCCTTAAATTGATCATTAATATCAACGTATCATATCAACAACTTTAGCACTGTCAGATTCTCCTTAGAGCTCATTTACTCTGTAGAACTTTCAAAGTACCTATTATGTTTATTTCATAAATAAATTAAGGTTAAAAGATTCCTCATCACCCCTCCAAGATGGAGGTGAAGCCACTATTTGAACACAGATGTATCCAATCCCATTGTCTCCCTGTTCTGAATTCTATTATTTTAATCTCTTCTTCCCCACCCTCACATACATAGTAGCTCAGTCTGCACCTTTGCTCTGGGAAATGAACATCTCATTTCTGCAAAAGAACAAAATGAGGCCTCCCTGGTGGTGCAGCAGGTTGAGCACCGCGCTGTGAAGCTGTCCACAGCCTCGGCAGTGCGGGTTCGATCCCGGCCGGTCGTCAAGAATCCCATATGGTACAGCAGACCTCTCCTGTCTCACCTGCTGCTACCCTCAGCAGTGTGTTTCGTCAGTCTGCCTGTTCTGTTCCCCATTCTGTCTCTGGTGAATCCTCTCACCCTCCCGCGCCTCTGGCCTGTACCCCAGCTCTTGCATAAAAATAAATAAATCTTTAAAAAAAAAAAAAAAAGAACAAAATGAGTGAGGCTCATAAAGCAGACATGCTAATACAGAGCCATGCAGTTCATGACCTGTTCATTAAATAACAAGATTGTCTTAAAGACAGATCTCAGGTCAATATCAAATATTTTGAGACTCAAAATTGATAAAATACTCCAGCAATGGTTCTAAGATGCAGGGGAAATAGTCTGTGCGGCACACAAAAATGATACACCAAGTCTTAAGGAATAAAGGAATACCGAAACTCCCCATGAAATCAATGACAATATGTAGAGCCCTCATATGCTACAACAGTTACTCACAGTGTTCAGAAGATACATGAAGGACAATAGTTGTATACAAATATAAGAACAAACCTCATTACCATCCTGAATGCCATACTCACCTGCATAATTAAGCTCATCACAGACCAAAAGTAGTAAGGGTTTTTGGGGACAATCTTATATAGAGCCATGCCAGCCTGAAAGAGAGCCATAAATTTTTAATTTAGAAAATATACAGAAAGCACTTAATGATCTAGAGTATGTGGCAAGTTTTCTAGAAGAAAAGCAACACATTTACATATTCCAGTATATGCCCAGTGACTTGGACATTCATTACCGGAAAGCAATAGAGGCAATCGTGACAACATACTTTATAATACTGGGAATAATATTTCATGTTTTGAACCAGATTTCTGAAATTAAAGCCTATTATTTCTAGAAAATACTACAATGCACTATAGTTCTGGTAGACTACCAACCAAACACAAAATTTGGCTTATGAATGTACATCAATAAACTTTACTGAAGACATCATACTAACAAGTTATAATAAAAATAAAGAAATCAGGACAATATATTAAAACTTCAAAATCAGAAAAGATTACTATTAAATAGTTCAAAAATTAATTTTTAGTTTAGGGAAGAATGGTATTTGGAGATACCACTATTCAGTGTGATAAGTATAACATACAAATACTAAAAAGCAGGGACATGACAAGAAAGAGCGGAGTACATCTATGTATTTATCTCAGGTAAATGGGCAAGTGAGTTAATCAACTCTAAATAGGGGCAAAATGAACAAAATGTTAAAGAAATAATGACAAAAACAAAAAAAATAATAATAAACATATTAAAGAAAGAAAAGTCCAGGAACACAATTTGATATAAACACATAGGACATTTGGCTAAAACAAAACGGCCTCCCTGGTGGCGCTGTGGTTGAGCGCTGGGTTGCGAAGCTGCCCGCAGCCTCTGCCACGCTGGTTCGATCCCCAGACCTCTCCTGCAGCCCGCTGCTCCCCTCAGCAGTGTATTTCAGTCAGTCTGCCTGTTCTGTTCCCCACTCTGTCTCTGGTGAATCCTCTCAACCCCTGCACCTCTGGCCTGTACCCCAGTTCTTGTATGCGTAAATTAAAAAAAAGTTTTAAAAAAATAAATAAAAATGTGCTAACTAGATCCAGAAAAAAAAAAAAAAAAAGTCAGCCATTCTGGGCCTCCCCTGTTGGCGCAGCGGTTAAGCGCTGGACTGCGAAGCTGCCCACAGCCTCTGCAGCGCCAGTTCGATCCCTGGTCACCGGCAAGGGTCCCACATGATGTGCAGACCACTCTGCCGCATGCGCTGCTCCCATCAGCAGTGTATTTCGGTCCCTCTGTCTGCTCTGCTCCCTGCTCTGGTGAATTCTCTCACCCTCCCGCGCTTCTGACTATACCCAGTGCTTGTATAAATAAATAAATAAATAAATAAATAAATAAATAAATAAATAAATAAATAAATAAAGTCAGGCATTCCAAGCAATGGGGATTATTCCCCTGATAAATATATAAATCTCAGCAGGCTATACACAGTGAAATTTACAAATTAGATGTAAACTTTAAAATTAATCATTCTATAATCAGTTCATATTTTGCTCTTGGATTTCTGCCCATTTTTTTTTTTTTAAAGATTTATTTATTTATGCATACAAGAGCTGGGGCACAGGTCAGAGGTGTAGGGGGGTGAGAGGATTCACCAGAGATAGAGTAGGGAACAGAGCAGGCGGACTGACCGAAGTACGCTGCTGACAGCAGCAGCGGGTGAGTCAGGAGAGGTCTGCTGTGTCATGTGGGTTGCTCCCTGGCTGGCGGGGTATCAAAATTGTGCTGCAGAGGCTGTGGACAGCTTCATAGATCGCGTCTTAACCCTTTGTGCCATCAGGGAGGCCCTCTGCCCATTTTCTGAAGAAATAACATCAATCTGATACAGAGGAACCACTTGAAGCTGACCTATCAGAACCAAATAAAACATACCATCAGGCCACAAAAGAACATCAAATTTACCCAAATAAAACATTTAAAGAACTTAAATTTTTATTTTTATTTTTTTAAGGATTTAAAGATTTTTTTTCTTTAAGACTTATTTATTTATTTTGTATAAGCACTGGGTACAGTCATAAGCACGGGAGGGTGAGAGGATTCACCAGAGCCAGAGCAGGGAGCAGAACAGGCAGACTGATGAAACACACTGCTGAGGGGAGCAGCGGGCACGGCAGGAGAGGTCTGCGCGCCATGTGGGACCCTCGCCAGCGGCCGTGGATTGAACCGGCACTGCGGAGGCTGCGGACAGCTTCGCAGCCCAGTGCTCAACCGCTGCACCACCAGGAAAGCCCAATAGTTCATTTTTAAAACACACAAAGATACCTGATCTCCCCAGACAAATACATAGATTCAGTTCTATATACATGAGTATAGCACAGCACAGCACACCACCCACCTACGCCCACCCACCCACACACTGCAATTAAGTCACATTAAAGAGACCTTCACCAATAATAGCAAATCTTACAGCCCAGGAAGTTTGGAGATTTACCTGTTGCATCTTCTTGTATTCACCCACTCTGGCATAGGCCATGAAGAGATGAGAGTGATACTCCTCACTATTGGGAACTTTCTTCACAGCTGCCTCATAAAGTTTTGTAACTAATTCCGCTAAGATAAAGAGAAATAGGATTTTCTTTAATTATTGATATATAATTTGGACCTCAAGAGCATTTGGGGGTGGGGGGATGGGAGAATCTGGTATCTCCATCACTAAAGAAGGTACTTGCTCTGCCTCATCTGATCACTGATCACTACTCCTCCTGGTTCAGATGAAGCATAATTTGAGTAAGGCCTCCCCATCAGGTTCACAATATACAAGACCCTAACTCCAACCCCTAACACTTTGAGCTCTAACCACATCAAACTACTTGTACTTCCACTAGTCTCCATGCCTTCACCTAGTTCCCTCTGCCTAGATGCTCCTTTCTTCTCTTTCTATGCAGTGACCATCCTCTAAGACCCAGTTCAAATGTAATACTCTCTGCAAGACTTTCCCTGAACACCATCTCGGCTCCTCCACTGCAGTGTGGTCATTACTTTGCTCTGCCATCTTTAATATTTTATATACCCCTCATAGTATTTATTAATATGCAGTGCAATACACTATCTATTGCCCTAGTTCCCCTTACAGACTAACATGAAGGCAAAAAGAACATCTTTTATCTTTGACTCTGATGCAGTATTTATTATTGAGAAACGTTCAACTAATACTTGGGACAGATAAATGAATTTTCTTCAAAACACTGGAGAAGAATCTATATCCCTAAGTCAACATAATCCTTAAATAAGCAGATATAATACTTCAACCCTTAAGTTTTATTATAATAAAGAACAAAATTGAACTATAACATTTTTGGCCTACTATGCTGGCAAATTTTTATTTCTTTTTTTCCGGTTTTATTGAAGAATAATTGGCATATAACAATTGTATATTTTAATATATACAATATGATGGTTTGATCTTAAAGTCTAAGAATACCAAGTGTGTTGACAAGAATGTGAAGCAATCAGAACTCTTGCATATTACTAGTGAAGTAGTAAATTTAGAGAACAAGTTGACATTGTCTTTATCTTTAAGTTGAATATACATATACCCTCCAACCTGGCATCTCCACTCCTAGATAGAGTGTAGTCACCACTTTTGTGGAAAATGAATGAATCACTTGGATATTGGATGAAAAATGTAAGTCACAAGTCTTTCACAGCATGAACCCATCTACATTAAGTTCAAAATTAAGTAAAACTAGTAATGTGTTACTCAGAAAAACCAATGTGGTAAGATTGAAAGAAATCCAAGAGAATAAAAAATAATCAAAATAGCAAGGACTTCTTGGGAGGTGAAAGGGGAAATAAGATTGATATGAAAAACACAGGAAGCCTTCATATTGTTGATTATTTCTAAAGTTGGTGGTAGGTTCATGAATGCTCATTATCCCACATCAAGTAAAATATATTCTTTCATAATATCTTATGACTACAGTATGCATGTATTATTTTAAAATGAAATATTTAAGAAGTCAACAATGAAAACCTGGAAGACAACTGATTTACAGGTGAATGACAGACTATCTAAATATGCTTATAAATAACCTGGCAGGGGGAGGGACATAGGTAAAGTTAGCCAATGGTCAATAAATTGCTGAAGGTATGTAATGGGTAAAGTGGGTTTTATTACACTATTCTCCGTTTTTGTCTATGGCTAAGGATGATAATTCTTTCATTTAGCACATCAAAATGTCACAAATGAAACTCAAGTCGTCATTCCAGTTCCAGGGTCCTACTACATGTATCCTTTTTGTCTACAGTCTTCTCACGCCAACAGTTTAGCCACTTGCCATTCACTCAAATCATGAGTGATAGGTAAGTCAGACAGAGAACTTAATCAAAAATATCCAAAACTTAAAAGTTCAGCTTTAAAACAATGAAAAGAAAGAAACATACGTCGATGCATCTCTCTGTAAAGAATAGTCAGTGCCTGTAGCGAGTTGTCATCTGTGGGTTCAAGGGCTGCCACCTCCTGTGCCAAGGTGAAGGCCTCCTCTTGCTTTCCAGTTCTCTGTAAACCAATTGCCTTTAAGACCTGAGAGAAAGGAAAGTCAGATCAGCTTTATTTTTTTTCAATTTTTTTAAAGATTTATTTTTATTTATACAAGAACTGGGGTATAGGCCAGAGGCGTGGGAGGTGAGAGGATTCACCAGAGACAGAGTAGGGAGCAGAACAGGCAGACAGACCGAAGACACTGCTAAGGGTAGCAGCAGGCGAGGCGGGAGAGGTCTGCCGTGCCCTGTGGGTATCTCCCTGGCTGGCCGGGAATCGAACCTGCGCTATAGAGGCTGTAGACAGCTTCACAGCGCTGCGCTAAACCTTCTGTGCCACCGGGGAGGCCCGCCAGATCAGTTTTAAAAGGAGAGAAAAGGAAATAGGAACCAAAGGAAGCTAATTCTAAAAGTACAAGCTGAAAGGTATGTCTAGGTTGCTGAGCAACTGTTTTATTAAAAAAAAAAAAAATCAATAAATCAAGGTCTTTCCTATTTCAGTCATATTACTGCACAACTCTAATTAAAAGAACTCTATAAAAATGAAACAATTAAGCTAGATAAGCTATTTACAGCATCTAAGTGGCCAGGAAAACAAATGGCTTAAAAATTCTCTGGAAAAACATAGTTTCTAAAAAGATTAATTAAACACCTTTTTTCTTTAAAGATTATAATACATAATCCACCAAATAAATGTAACCAAATGACAAAGGGGCAAATAAACTTACCTTAGCACAATGAAGATCCTTATGTTTCTTCAACAATTTATCCGCTTGCTGAATTGCCATTTTATTATTACCATTGTCGAGATAATCTATAAAAAAAAAAACAATCTATGAAAACAGGAAATGCACAGGCTGGTACCAGATAATAAAGTATCATAAAATGTCTCAATTCAGTATTAATAATATCACGGACGTGATTTTGACTCTAAATGTCTAAGATGGTCCATAGTACAATCTTACATTCCTATAGTATATGTAAGTATACATACTATATATATATACACACACACACACACACACACACACACACTCTATATAGTATATATGAGAAATATATGTGAGTTACTTCTCATGCAAAAGCAATATAATCCAGTTTTATCTGCCCTTAATGAAGAATGAAAACTACATTTTTGGTAGTATTTTTACCTGTGGAAAATAAACAGGTCTAGTCATCCAAAACGTAGCACACAGCAGGCCTCCCTAGTGGCCCAAGGGGTTAAGCCCCACACTATGAAGCAATCCTCAGCCTCTGCAGCACGAGGTCCATCCCTGGCCCTCCAGGGAGCAACCCACATGGCACAGCAGACCTCTCCTGTCTCTCCCGCTGCTCCCCTCAGCAGTGTACTTCGGTCAATCTGCCCGTTCTGCTCCCCACTCTATCTCTGGTGAATCCTCTCACCCTCTCGCCCTTCTGGCCTGTACCCTAGTTCTTATATGCATAAATAAATAAATCTTTAAAAAAAAAGTTTTAAAGAGAACAGTGTTTGCTTGTCAAGTCTAAATATAGAAAGATGTCTATCCACAGGTCACCTAACATGACAGTCCCAAAACTACACAGGACAGACGAGGCGCAGACGAGACTATGAGCCAAATGCTGGTGAGAACACAGAGCAACAGTAAATCTCACTCACTGCTGGAGGAACAAAAACTGGCTCAGCCACTCTGGAAGACAATTTGGTACTTTCTTACAAAACTACACATGCTCTTATAATATGACCCAGCAATTGTGTACCATGGACTCTACCCAAAGTAGGTGAAAACTTACCTCGACACAAAAACCTGTACACAAACGTTATAGCAGCTTTGTTCATAATTGTCAACATGTGGAAGCAACCCAGGTGTCCTTCAACAGCAAATGAATAAACTGTGGTATATTTACACAATGAAATATTCAGTGATAAAAAGAAATAAGCTATCAAACCTCAAAGAATGAACCTTAAATGCATAGTGCTAAGTAAAAGAAGTTAATCTGACAAGGCTACACACCGCATGATTCCAACCATAAGACATTATGGAAGAGACAAAATAGACAGTGAAACAATCGATGGTTGCCAGGGGCCCAGGGAGAGGTAAGTGGGTGGAACACAGGGGACTTTCAGGCAGTGACACTAACCTGCACAATAACGTAATGATGGTGACATGTCATGTATGTCCAACCCAGAGAAATGATTAACCAAAACATGAACCCAAATGTAAACTAAACGATGGGCTTTAGTGAACACTGACCTCATGTTGGCTCAGCCACTGAAAACGTGCCGCGCTAACATAAGGTATTAAGCAGCAGAGGAAATGGGGAGAAAGGACGGAAATGTGGGGATAGACAGAACTCTCTGTACTTTCCTCTCATTTTTTTATAAACCTAACTTCACCCTAAAAAATAGTCTACTAATTTTTTAAATGTCTAATAAAAGCAATAATTCATTCCCAAAAAAGAAAAATGGGAAGTGTTATAAATGAGAAACAGGGAAGTAGCAGTCAACTCTAAATATAGAAAAGGTGACTGGACACAAGCCAGCTCACAATCTACTATCACTTCTGGTTCCTCTTTGCTCATCAAAGTCCCATATCAGCACATGACAGAGAAGGCAGAGATAACTCAAAATAATCTGTGGCTCTGGGAGTCGCAAATGCCAGAAATAAACTATCAATTTTTCTCCAGTGACTATTACAACTTTAAACCAACAACCACATGAACATGAGTCCCATCTCTTCATTTTTTTTCAATGCACTTAGTAGTGATAAGCACCAATCATGCTAGGTAAAAAGCTTAAGAAGCTTAAGCTGGAGAGAATCACAATCTAAAAAGGAAGGTCAAAGACCTCAGGTGACGATCCTGGAGAATGACAAAAGCCTAAAAGCATACTATCTTGGCCTGAATATTCAAATATCTAATACAGCTGTTTTTAAAACCTTAGCTCAGTCAGTGGGCTATCATCATTTGTCTTTACAGGATATCTGACATATAGATCAGTTCACTAAATGACATTTCTCTTCCTAATGAATTGATGTTGACCTCAATCTACATCAGTTCTAAGTTACTTCTTGACTCAGTCCTTAAGATTCCAGGTTCAAGGCCTCCCTGGTGGCGCAGGGGTTAAAGTCCCAGTGCTATCGAGCTATTGCCATCCACTGCGGCCTGAGTTCGATCCCCACATGGCACAGCAAACCTCTCCTGTCTCACCTGCTGCTCCCCTGGGCAATGTATTTCAGTAGATTCACCTGTTCTGCTCCCTACTCTGTCTCTGGTGAATCCTCTCTCTGCCCCCCACCTCTGCCCTACACCCCAGTTCTTGTATGCATAAATAAAATCATTAAAAAAAAAAAAGATTCCAGGTTCATAGAACACATCTTGACATCTTCTCAAAGAGTAGACATCTTTGAAGAGACCCAGACTCTGAGGATCTGCCCATAATGGATCACACCAGACAGAGGTCAGGATTGTAGGATACTTAACTCTTTGCTGTGTAGAAGACAAGGCAGATACACTGTTCCTACCTGCTTCTACCCTCTTCAGTGGGGATGCTTTCCAACGCCTCTGCTGAAGGGGTAGGATTGGATGACATGTCTAGACCATGTAATTGCAATCCAATGGGGTGGACATTTGACTCAAGGTAAGTCAGGTTTCCTCCTGGTAATATCTATAATGCTGAAAGGTATAGAGTCGAAAGCTACAGGGAACCTCATTTGGAAGGCAATACATATTTTGAGTCTGAGGTTACCAGTGGCAGTTCTAGAATTTCCGTTTTGAAGGAAGCTTTGGGGATGCAAGCTGGCTGATGGGGAAGTAAAGGAGTTATCACTTGACTTTTTATTCAGATAGCCTATACATAAGAATGAAAACTGTCAATTCTCTATCAAAAACTATGGGAAGAAGCAGGGCTGACTGACCTGAGGCGAGAAGCTAATGACCTCTCCCTCTTCTAGTATTGCTTAGTGTGGTTACAAAACAAATTTGGGGCCTGGGTAAACTGACGAGTAATCAGAAAAGAACAGTCTGAAGAACCAAGCAGAGATTACGGAGCAAAGCAGAGATGAGTACCTGAGGAAGAAGCTTCCAATCCTAAGAGCCTTCCTGTTTCCACAAGGCCCTGGGACACTGCATTCCTGCCTGCCCTGGGCTACCACAGGTGTTTGCAGCAACCCCACCAACGTGAGCTCGTGTCTACAGGTTTCTGCTCCTTGTGCCCAAGAGTGTTGTAACTAAGGCAGTCCACCACATTCAGCCCACTGTCAGGCTCCCCCTTCGGGGGTGCCCAGGTGACTGCTGATTGATAATTGAGTCTTTTGGGAACAATTTATTTTCATTTTACATTACTGACTATGGAATGAAAGTTATGGAATCCCTGGAGAAAACAGGCCAATTAAATATCGATATCCTAGGCCTGTCTTTTTTAGTCAGTCTTTATAAAACTACTTGAGGGTGGTCATGGCTTGGCCCTGAGGACTGTGTTGTAACAATGGGAGCAAGACGAAATCACCCAGGCCAAAGTGGGCCGCAGAAACAATAAGAAATGGTGCACAACGAGGTATGTGAAACGCAGTAAGATATGTCTTCAAAGCATGGGTATCACTTTAATGCTAATATTTTTAGATGGTCCTTGGCAGACAGCACTAATAACACAGTGCGAAAGTGATCTCTTTTCTAAATTTTCCTTTAATTAAGGAGATGGTTTCAGTTTAGTATTAGCCTGGGTTTCATTAATACTTGGTCATGTCTTTTTTAACAGGAAGAAACAGGTCTCCAACTAAGTTTCACAAGTATCAGAATCTAGTAAGACTTCAATAATTGCTTCATTTTCCACTGCATTATTTTTATGTGTCGACGTTCAGCCCCCCCCTGCACCCCCCAACTACCCCCACAATGGGAAGTGAGAAGTTTTGCATTAGTTTAAAAGTCAATTGAGGGCCTCCCTGGTGGTGCAGCGGTTGAGCGCTGGGTTGCGAAGCTGGGTTGCGAAGCTGCCCGCAGCCTCTGAGGCGCCGGTTCGATCCCCGGCTGCTCCCCAGCCACCGGAGGAGGGTCCCGCATGGCGCGCAGACCTCTCCTGCCGCCCGCTGCTCCCCTCAGCAGTGTACTTCGGTCCTTCTGCCTGCTCTGCTCCCCGCTCTGGCTCTGGTGAATTCTCTCACCCTCCTGCGCTTCTGACTGTACCCAGTGCATGTATAAACAAAACAAACAAAGAAAACATGCCTCTATAAAAAAAAAAAAAAAAAAGTCAATTGAGGGCATCCCCGGTGGGGCAGAGGTTGAGCTCTGGGTTGCGAGGCTGCCTGCAGCCTCTGCAGCGCCAGTTCGATCCCCGGCCACCGGGCGAGGGTCCCACATGGCGCGCAGACCTGTCCTGCCACACGCTGCTCCCCTCAGCAGTATACTTCGTCACTCTTCCTATTCTGCTCTCCGCTCTGGCTCTGGTGAATTCTCTCACCCTCCCGCGCTTCTGACTGTACCCAGTGCTTGTATAAATAAATAAATCTTTAAAAAAAAAAAAAAAGTCAATTGAGAGGCCTCCCCGGTGGCGCAGCGGTTGAGCGCTGGGTTGCGAAGCTGCCCGCAGCCTCTGCAGCGCCGGTTCGATCCCCGGCTGCTCCCCGGCCACCGGAGGAGGGTCCCACATGGCGCGCAGACCTCTCCTGCCGCCCGCTGCTCCCCTCAGCAGTGTACTTCGGTCCTTCTGCCTGCTCTGCTCCCCGCTCTGGCTCTGGTGAATTCTCTCACCCTCCCGCGCTTCTGACTGTACCCAGTGCTTTGCATAAATAAATAAATCTTTTTTAAAAAATAAATAAATAAAAGTCAATTGAGGACCTCCAT